TATGGGCGGTTCAGCAAATATCTGTTGTGACATGGATCGTTAAAAAAAAAAGTGTAATCAAATGGAAGGCTGAAAAGGGCATGTACATGCCCGGGGTCAGAGGAACACCGCATTGGACACGCAAATCAGACATCGTATTGCCTAAAGCAGGCTTGTGCAGGGCATGTCGCTGGCAGGGATGGGTGGTGGTCGACACCGACAGCCGAAGGAACTGTGCCCGCAGCAGCGAAGCCGCTCCGTTGGAGCCGTGGCCGCAACGCCGCCACCTCCGAGCGACGGGGCCGACGCTGCTCTTCCCTCACCACCCCCCACATGAACACACACACAGAGTCCCGAGGGAAGGTCACCTGGCCGACAGGTTTTCACCCAGAAGCCCTCTCATGGGACCAAACTTCACGGTTTCCTGCGACCAGGGAATTGGGCGACCTCCCCCAAGGCTAACGTGGCACCGCGGCGCCGTGACTTGGGTTGTAATCACGTGGTCACGATGGGGCTGCTGAGTCACCGCGGATAGAAAACACCCACAACACACACGGGTCAGCAGGCAGGTAGTGGGGGACGGAGTCACGAACGGCAGGAAAAACAGGGCCGGTCCTCTTGATTGGTAGGACAGATGCGCTTGTTTAGAGGGTGAAAAGCGGACGTCTGAGAGAGCACCGGTCCAGGGAGAGTGGCGGGAAATCCGAGCCACCTGATTGGACGGGAGGCCAGCGGATCAGCGCCGATTGATCTTTGATGTAGAGGACAATAAAAAGAGTAGAGAAGGTAGGGAGAGGAGTTCGTATTGTACTCAAGCCAGGCTCCGGGCCGTCGATTTCCCAGCCACTCGAACGTCCGTGTGACGAGTCGAAGTGCGAGGATCCGACCCAGCAGCTCCGTACGAGTCGAACCGTGAGTACCCGAGAGATATCGAGGCCATTGTGAGATTGTCTTCGGGGAGTGATTTGAATAGATCGGGTCTTAGACCATCGGGAGATAGGTTAGACCTGCCCTGCTGACTCAAACTGCCTCGGGTAATTTAGCCTCGGACTCGCTGAGAATAAACTGTTGGGGATCAATAAACCTTGTCGTGTGGTTTCTGCAAGGGTGGAACGGATGCATGTTGGTGTGCATCGTTGTACCCTGTGTTTGTGCGTGAGGGTGTATTTACCCACGTGTATGCGCTCGCCCATGCGTGTAGCTCGTGGTTAGCGTGTGGTGAGCGGCGGCGGACTCGTACAGGGGCACGTGAGATTACTCATACGCCCTTTTGTTTAGCGTGTGCGTGGGGTGAACGGGCGGCGTACCCGTGAGATTGTTCATACAGCCCTTAAACTAAATCTCCGAGACAATCCCCCCAATCGGCTGCGCGTGTGCGAGTGACGTCCCTGCCCTCTGACCCCCGCCCCCGCGCGTGCGATTGGTGCGTGGCACGGGAGAGGAGCGACGTCGGATTTTGAGCGAGTGGGTGTGAGTGGGTGTGTGCAGAGATAGTGTGAATTGATCCCAGGTGGCTAAGCGCCAGCCACGAATCATGCCCCGAGGGGCCGCAGCGAAGGGGGGGGGGGGGTTGTCGGTGAGCAGTAACCCTCCCCAGGACACGGAAGAGGGGAGCAGTGGATCCCACGTGAGCGAGGAGCCAGGGGTCAGCCTCCCCGACAGAACACACCAGAGGACGTCCACCACGGAGACAGAGCGATGAATCAGCTTGCATGCAGTTGCTATACTAATGATTAGAAAATTGTGACAGATTAAGAAATGCTTCGTCCAGGAGACCAATGATTACAGCTGATGACGAACAATTTTAAAACAAATGACTGGAACATTGATAATTTAGTTGGCAATTAACTTTCTGCCACCAAGGATGTGTTCTGCAATTCCGAATTCCTGAAACTTTCTCATTTGGGCCTATTAAACTCAGAAACATGTTTTTAATATAACCATCACCAGTTGTGCCAATGATTGCCCACCGATCATTACGGTGTCAAATGAGAATAAAGTTCACGTAAACACAATAGCAAACCGACGACTTTCGTGTGCAGACATTTTTAATTAATGTTAAACACCTATATGATGCATGGAGTTGCAGAGGTACTTAACAGGTAGGTGCTCAGGAAATTGCTTCGATTCTCCAGTTATAAATTAGTTATTTCATTAACTTTTGGTGGCGGGGGGGGGGGAGAAAACGTAAATATATCTTGACGAGCTAAGTAGTTCCTGCAAACAAAACAGCAAATGACCAGATGATGACTCCACGTGGCTTGTTTAGTCAAAGAGGTACAGAAGACGAGGGGGGGAAAGCACAGGTAACCTAAAAACGTTGCCCATCGCGGCGGGGGTTACGTTCTTGAAAAGTCGCAATCGGCAAATTCGTGATCCACAAACTCGAAGGCATAGGGGTAAAATATGGTTTGGTTCACGGTTTGTAATACAACCCGCCTCCTGTTGTTAACCTACGTTAACCCAAACATGAAGTATGTATAATATAAAGGATGATTAATATTTTAGTGTTCAATATACGTTGTACAGTATATGTATATATTGTTTAAAGAAAATGTAGTATACAGTACTCTAAGAAAACCACCGCAACGGTGGCTGTGTGAGACATTTAGCCTGTTAAGAAAACGAGAGCCACCGCCACATCGAGGGAAAGGAGCAGCGGTGGCTGTTACATAGACATACTAATCTCTCACATTACAATGGCCACCTCCACATCCTCGGTGGTGCCCGGTTTTCTTACATTGACATGCTAATCCCTCACAATACAATGGCCACCTCCACAGCTTCCGTAGTCGTGGAGGTATATCAGCTCTCCGATCTTACATTTACACGCAAATTCCATCTCTAGCCCCGCCCAATACCCTTGGGCTACACCCATCTCAAACCGAAATAACATCCTGCTTTAGCAGCTCCCCGCTATATTTTTCCTGCCTCATCAGCTCTCCCGCTATATTTTTTCACCTGATGACGATTGTATTGCGACCAAAACGTCGTGATATTTTTAATTATTTTTCTATCTACGTGGCTTTACCGAAAAACAGAATATAACTCAAACGACGTTTACTTACTCTGGGAGACAAGATGCGTGTATTCATTCGCGCATGTACCATCGCGAGCAGGGCATTTAAGAGTACTTTACTTTACGATGTACACAGGAATCTCGCGGCCAGCCATAGATAGTCAAGCCACAGAGGGCACGGTGAGCGCACTATGCGTTAATAAATATTGTGCTTGTGGTTAAATCCGCGGTTGGCAAAGTTTCCGTGTCGTTTCAACTGTGCACTGTCAGAACAAAGGTTGGTCCACCACTGTAGATATAAATATGGAATATAAAAAGTGCAATCTTAATAAAAACATGTCAAATGCCTGTTATTCAGAAAATATGCCGACCGGTCAACTACTGTATTTCGTCAGAATAGTTGGTTTTGAATTACAATTCTAAGGAAATTTTATAGTAATGTTTTATATTGGAGGAACTTCACACCGGTCTCAAGCGTGATGCAAAGTCACACTTTGGATGAAACCATCCAAAGTTGCTCTATTTGACCTATGGATAAAACACCGTTTGGAGTTCCATGTCCTTCACCTTGTTTTAACTCAGCATGGATCCATTTTATGAATTGCCAAAACACTCCATTCCATTACAATTGACTCCACACATGATTTTTCAAAACAATCCTTTAAAAAAAATCGTAATTTGGCACCTGCATATGTTGTAGGGTACTTGGTTGGGTCAAAATAAAAAAAAAACACGACCAATGTTGTGTTGCACCTTGTGAAGTCTTCCATCTTTCTTTAAAAGCTCTAAACGTATACATGGTCAAAACCCAGCCTCTATGTAAGCAGCACTATACAAACATGGTTAATAATTAAATCTAAATATTTAAGGGGTTGAACAGTGGCACCACAGTACTTCATTGCACTCCAGTGACCCAAGTTCGAATCCGAATGCCCAATTCCGTTCACTCCAGAAGCAATATTTCAACTGACCTTGGCCCCCACCCTCTTCACACACCCACACTTAACATCGTGGCAAAGCTTGGCCAAATGTCAAGTAACCCCCATGATTACATGGCATGCTTTAGCCTTCATCTAGCAGTGGATTGAGGCTGACATTATTTAAAGAAACGATTAACTGTATTATTACAGAACAAGTGTTGTAATAAGCAATAATCATACAACTATTCAGGAATACAAATTATGTTCACATCACTGGCTAAGCCAGTGGGGGGGGGGGGGTGGCACGTGCCCCCCCCCCCCCCAATGATCCGATCGAAATCCCAAATTTCGATCGGATCATTGTAGTTTATTAGTAATAAATCGGCATTTTGTGACCGCCACTGTGTAGCATATTATTACGTGATAAGACAATAGTCCGAGTCCATAATTGGCAATAAGTAACGGTAAAACAGTTATAAGTGACTCAGAATTGTGCGCAGTTGCGTATACAGTACACGACGTCCCTGAAGGCAAACACCTTCAGCGAACGCGATGCCGGTCACACAACGCGGTTCGAATTCGACCCTCGATCGATGGCTGCGCCATCGCCGCACACGCGTCGAATAAAAAGCAAGGGACAAGTCCTTATTTACCAACTATCATTTTTCATTGAAGGGGTTGCCCCCCCTACCTAAAAATCTTGGCTCCGCCATTGGTTCACTTTACATTGCATTGAATTGCACATGTTCTATTTTTCAATGTATGCTAATTATTTGCAAATAATTAACGTAGTGTGCAATTCACCACGCAGGTCTCACTGTGTAACCTCCAGAATACACTTAAGTGTTGATTATATGTAATAAACCAGTCGTATACGTTACGGGAGAAAGAAATGCTGTTGAAAACCGGGTAAATATAAAGTGGTTAAATATGGGTGAACTGCAATCTAAATTGATGGATTTTACGACAAAAATATGAAATTACTGGAAACCCCCAAAACATTTTCAATCTAGCTTTGAAAGCATCTCAGAAGTCAGATATTTTCAGTTCCATGGACAAGCAGCACACCAGTTCCATGTGGCTTTTAGAGAGAAGCATTTTTTTTTAATGCGATGGTTAACACATGCCCGTGTAATATAGAAAAACGTAATCAGCTCCTCATGTAGTCTGGGCATACGGGGTGCATAGTGGAGGACAGAGAGCTTGAGACAATGGCATGCACGATCTTTTCGGTAAGATTACCTTAAAATTAAAGTCAGTTAAGCCGAGAGAAAATTTATTTTCCACATTTTTGGAGTAACGTGATCAAATCTACAATTAGTCGTGTGGAACAATTAAAACAGATCATGGGAGAACATACTAATTTAGACAGCAAAAGTTTACAAAGAAATCGTTGAATTGAATGCGACCGGACTGCGACGACTCAATGATTTATGAGCCTATTAAGCAACGCACACAATGCTCTTCAGCGAATTGAACTTGTTTCATTTAGACAAAACTTCCACAACATTTTAAAAATCAACATTTCATTAATCAATATTAAACCAGTTTAAATCCAAGATAATTTACACAATCCAAGCATGAGGTTATAAAAAACCGTTAGAGAAATAGGATAGCATAAGGATAATATAAATTAGGATATATGACCAAGCACTGTAATAAAATCTGCTGTAAGGACTCATGAAAACATACTTTTTGCATTGGGATTTTTTTTATCTGGACATAATTTGTAAGGAAGAATACGTCAAGGAATACAGTAGCAAATTAATAAAATAACATCAATACATCGAGGGCCTGATGATGAATATTTTTTCGAGTAAAAGCCTCCAGTCCTACAGTTATTGGCCGAAGCGCTCGTTCAAGATCCAACCTCGTTTACACAATGGAAATGAGTGTATAACGAAAACATTAAAAAAGGATATCAAGAGATAACCTAAACTACCGCATGTAAAAGTCACATGAATGAAGCAGGTTTAAGCGTGGGTCCAGTACAAATGGCAGATATACATGCACACGTTAATCACTAAAGTCAACTCACCAATGCAATTTTCCTTAGTACCAAGACAACTGGAAAATGTACACGAATGTAACGTGACGTCTATTGAATGTTTTATTTACTGGATTCTAAAGAAAAGAAATAAAATTTGTAAAATAATTTTTACTATTTTCCCCAACAAATATTCTATCACATTTTGCAGCAGGCTACAATTGAGCATAAAAAGGGGCAAAAATACTGCCTCATTTCCAAAGTTATGGTCTTGTGAACGCATGTGAATTACCCAATTTTCTTCCCCCTCCATTGAATTTTGCAACAGGGCAGCAGGGTTAACACATTTAAACGCCAAAGCATCAGCAAAAAAGAGACTTACAAATTTTGGTCTCCACCACAAACTTAAGCCACAGCAAGCTCCTCCTTACATGATGTGCCAACATTTCCGAAGACACGGAACAAAAACTATGCTTAACTATCCGTAATATATTATTACGTGTACCATTATTAAAGTATCAGGAAATAATTTACGAGTCGCTTGATTCAACCACACCGACATTGCCTGCACATCAGCACACCTCCAACCATTAAGATGCTCCCTGCATCAGTGGAAAACTGCCAGCCTCAATTTCTTGCAGTGCACCGCAGCTCAATTGTAGACCCTGCTGCTCCGCGAACACGCTTCACTCGCTCCGTTGAAAAACATTTGCGGCAGCTGCCTGATACACGCACTTACCATTCTCTCTCCCAGTGCCAACTCCACAGCAAGGGGTACACGATACAATGCTTTGTTCTAGATGTTTGTGTGCAGCTTTGTGCCCGTTACATTACTGTGTGGCCGGAGGAACAGCGAGCCTTCTACCCTGCTATTCATAAAGCAATGCATCGTGTACCCCTGCCCTCTCAATACACCTAAAGTAGGGTTGCCCAGACTTCTCAAAAATGTGGTTCCATATTCATGCTTCAGTAGCGCTGCTGGTACTGTTCATCCCAGCGGGCCTGCTGTTGGAACTGCGGGTGCTGCTGCCGGAAGGCTGGCTGCTGCTGTCTGGCCCAACCTTTCTCCTCTCCATAGCCCTGCGAGCCCATGCCGTGGGTCGGCTGCGAGGGCATTTGTTGCTGCTGCATCAGTGGCCGCTGTTGCTGCTGCTGTTGTTGCGGTGGCGACCGAAACATGGGTGCTTGCGGCTCCACCAAAGCCGCCGACTGCCCCTTCTGCGACACGGCGGCCGATGCCTGCTTAACGAGCTGCGATATCGCCGGACCGCTCTGCATGAGCATGTCAAGCGCCTTGCGCACGTTGGGGTTATCCAGGTCAATAGACGACGGGTTTACAGTGGTGGGACCGACTGTCGTGCTGGTCGCTCCCCCGGAGGTGACGCGCTCCTGCTGTTGCTGGTGTGGAGGCACCAGTTGCTGCTGCTGCTGCGACGGCATTCGCACACCTTGGTCGGAGAAATCCCTGCCCATGCTGCCGTAGTTGCCGTAACCACCGACCTGACCCTGACCTCCCTGCGCAGAAGTGGTGGCGCGCGGCTGCAGCGCATCCTCCATGGGTGCGTGGCTCAACTCGGACTGCGCACCTACCGACGGCGTTCCTGGCAGCCAGCGTGAGTTGCGTCGCGGCGGGGAGACAGGACGCGACGCCGCCACTTGCCCCATGTTGTTCGCCTGCTGTCTGCCCGCCATGTGGCCCGATGGGGGCAAGCTCCCCTGCCTCCCCATCCCCGCCGCCATTGCACCGCCACCGCCGCCGTTGTTGTTGTTACCGCTGTTAAAAGCAGCGCCGGGCGCGTCGGCCGCCGCTCTGTTACCGTACGCACCTACGGCTTTGCTTGCCATGTTGGGCAGTTGTTGGTCAAGTCTCTGGTGAGCCTGTGGTGTGTTCTGTTGAAGATGGTGCATTCCAATCCCTCCCTCAGCCAAGCGTGGCGGGGCGGCTGGCTGATTACGCATTCCTGGCACACAATTGAAATCAAAATATATAATGTGACGTGTTAAAGAGGCTACATTGACTATTTTTTTCTAGAAATGTGTTCTCTTCGTAGAGGAAAGCTGCTAGATGTGAAAAAGGTGTCACGCCTTACCAAGTTTAGTTTCTGTACTGCAGTAATGAAAATGGTTAAATTCAAAAATCACCCTTGCTGAAGGAGATAATAACAAATTGAAAAATGGGAATTAGCAAAAAAACTATAAAATAATATTCACATACCCCGAGCCAAAATAAATGCAATGCCAGAAAAAATTACACTGAAAAACAGACCGTATGAAGACATTTTAAAGTGAGCCTCTCCACCAAATTTGTTTTCCTGCTATTTACAAACTGAATATTAAGATTAGGGCTTTAGGCAGATAATATAACAGCTTATGTAAACACTGCAAAAATAATTTCTTCAAGGCAGAATTCAAAATTTTAGCTGAAGGAAAAAAAACCGAGCGAGATGAGACATCTCGTTTACTCAGGTGTCCATTTAAAATGTTGATTTTGCACAATCGTTAAATGTTGCGAATGATATTCACAGGGTCTTTAACTGTAACATTACAGCATTAGGCAAATACACTGACAATTATCTATAAGAATGACTGGGTGAAAACAATTATCAAAACTCGCAACTTGGTGTAAACCAATTGTGGTCATGTGATGCAACAATCCATCGAGCTCCTGCATGCAAGCTAATTCCATTGCTCCATCTCGGGTTTGTGTCCTCCTTTAGCTGCCACCCAATCATTGGCCTTGACCACAAGTCATCACAGGTCATCACCTCTTCTCGTGCTCTCTACAACCCCACTTTTCTTAAAATTGTCTCTGTGTGGACACTTATTTGCAGAGCAACCGCAGTTTTTTAATCACTGCCTGGCCAATTATTCACCTAACACAGTTAATATTCAAAACCCTTGGCTTGTATTTCTAGGCAGTGATTGCAAATTTCTTTGCAGGTTCCCTAGTCATTTGGTCTCATCAAAAGAACCCATACACACATCAACCGACTAGTGCTGCAATTAATCGTCAATTCAATTAATCAATGACAAAATATATATTTGAAGTTAATTAACTGTCTGCCATTTTAAAATGGTATTTAAAAAATGGCATTTTAAAATGGTATTTTAAAAATGGCATTTTAAAATGGCAGATGCTAGAAAGCTGGGGACCGAGCACCGAATGGCTTACGCAATTAAAAACATTGCGTGGGCCACGTTTTTTCAAATTTCTCATTCCCCGCGGCATTTACGCACAGGGATTGCGTAAATGTCCAAGAAAATGTACGTTTGATAGCGAGCAACCGTAAGTCTGCAATTACTCTGCTAGCTGCATGGAAGAGATCAGTATTTTTACTTGTGCTTGAGCAGTTGTGTCTTCTTTGAGGCTGTTGGCATTGTCTTTGTTAATAGTTTTGTTTTTGTGCGTTGTGCATGTGGTTTGAGTGTAGAGTTGGAGCTGTTGTTGTGGGGTATGGTTGTGGTGGTGTGCTTTGTGATGAATGATTGTAATCATTTCAGCAGCTGGGGTGTTTGGCTGTGTTGTTTGAGCACTTGTAGTGAGTGTATGGTTTTAGTTGTGGTTGAACAGTTGTGGCTGCAACAGTTGTGCTATATGGTTGTGGTTGCTTCAGCGGTTGATGTGTATGATTGTGGTTGAGTGATTAACACATTTTTCGATCAATGCAATACACTTATAAGATTGACATTGCAATATACTATATCAATATTGATCACTTTTCTAACATGGTTAGCTATTGACGAGATAACAAACTGTAACATGAGCAACACTGCTGTGCTTACCTCTGCCACGCACGCACCTTTATTGCGCAGCTCCTGCTAAATTGTGGGTCAATTTCATGGAAACGGACACCCGGATCACGAAGTGTCCACCTCAAATGTGAAGTTCACTCCTCTCCCAAGAAGAGAAGCGGAGCTGATGCTGCTGCTGCTGCAGCAGAAGCAGCGTCCATGGGAAGTGGTGCCAAAATCCCCGTTGCAGCCGACCGGCCGGTGGAGTGGGAGTGATGACATAATCCATAGCGATGGCCAATGTGCCATCCACGTCTGTAAACTTCGCTTTTCTCACTACGAATTTTTCATTGCGTACACTGGTCCGCTTCCTGCTTAGAGTTACGCAATGTTTCTGCGCCCAGGCCCCTGGGCTCCATAACAAGAGAAACTCACCTTTGATGTGGTAATGACGACTTCAAGATTTCTTGACCTCAATCTTGGTAGGCTTATTGTAGTGTTATAGATGTAATGTCATTATACTAATAACTTACAGCCCTTTGTAAATAACTACATTGTTTTGGTGATTATAGTAATCAACTTGTAAAGTGTTCAAGTTATACTTTGAGGGTAAGGTTTAGTTTTGTTTGTTACTATATGAATGGAGTGGTGCTCTTATTCATATAGTAGTTATACATGAAAATAAAACGTTATTGTAGCGGTGGAATTCAACTTATCAGGTATTGTTAGTCTTATTTTATTGGTTTAAACTCGTAATAGTATGAGCGTATGTGCAGTGTTCACATTATATACTTTAGTTTCATAGTCCAGTAGCGCTGGAATTAAAGTCAAGTTTCATGGCTTCAGTCACAGTTAACGTAAAATATATTTTACAATCTTCCTGGATAATGCTTTAACATTGCCTACGAGACACCACCAACGCCTACCACTTATCTGCAGCAACCCCAAGACACAAAGCACCAGAAAGAGTGCCCCTAGAGTCCCCCGCACGCTGCCACCATACCTCTTTCGCTGAGCGCCTTTTCGCGCAGAAAGCGCACTTGCTCCGAGATGCGATCCAGCTCTTCCAGGGACATGTCCTTCCCCTCGCTCAGAGCGCTGCGTAGCGACGACAGCGAGTTGGCATGCTGCGCGTAGGCCGCTGGCGCTGCCGCCTGCTCACTCGGGTACCCGGACGTGTTGCCGCGCGCGGGACCGGACCGGTAAGGTGAATCTGCGGGCGACGCTCGCGCATGTAGGGGTGGGGCCAGGGTGTCCAGAGCTGGTGGGGCGCGCGCGGGGGCCTGTGTCGAAAAGCTGGTTCGGAATTCCGGCACTTCCGAGAAACGGTTCGGCCGCTGCTGGCGCCGCAAGACGCTGTCGGCGCGCTCGGCTGCTTGTCTGGCGATCTCACTCCGCCGCCGCTCGCGTAGGTTGCCCATGTAAGTCTCAAACTCGCGACCCACGAGCTCCATGGCCATGGGCAGAGGCGTGTCGTGGTGCTCTGGTGGAAAACGCGATGTTTATGGCGCCACATCAAAGCTACCTGGATAAAGTCAAACACTACAAACGCCACCTTCGGTGTCATCAAAACAGAGATTTTTTTTTCTGTAAGCCCAACATAGGTTTATTCAATCTTTGTTTCCATTTATTTGAAAGGAACACAAAGGGGGAAACGATATTGCATTGCAAAAAAATACTGTCACACATTGCACCTATGGATGTATGCAAAATTATATTTTGCCAATCGATAATTACGTATAATTTGAAATTAAAACACGAACAGTGCACGTGGAAACAATAATTCAACTTCCCTATTGGGTGACAAACATTTTCAATCATGGCTGGTGACACCAAACGCAAGTTAACATATTGCTGTGAAAAAAAAATAAAGTTTGCACAACTTTTACAAGACCAGCCTTCATCATCAGGCCTACAGAAAGCCTTCACCAATTTCAACGATTCTCCCATGGCGGCGTGTGAATCCCTTCGCACTTTTTCCGACTTTATGGAGCGGCAAGCTAGCCGGCCCCATCCACAAATGAAGCTTGCCTTTCGGTTGCCACGATGCATATGGGGGTCGGAGGGCTTACGTTGCTTGTTCCCCTGAAGGACGTGGACGGAGCAACAGTTGTGCGTCACGTGTGGGGGCATCACGGCGATGGCGAAGGCGGAGCCCCCATTCCTTACATCGTTCAGGGCCTGGCCCAGGAGGTTCTGCGAGCTCAGCATGATGAGATCCACAGTGAGGCCCATATCCCGAGCTTGCCTGCCTATATTCTCTGCATAGTCCCTGCAACACCACAGGACCAATAAGTCAGGAATGGAACAATAAAAATTGTGTCACATACTTAAATGAGTATTTGGTAGCAGTCATCGTCATAGGCAGTTCTGAGTCAGTCTCTCTTCCGAACATCCACCACCGAATTCTCAAAAACTGATACTAATTTTACAGAACACAGATGTCGTATGGGCTGAGTCTTTCTGACTGGGCTATCAGTTATTAAATGTTTGATTGCAATGCGAGCACACTTTACAAGATGCCCTCCGAGCTAAATAAGAAAACTGTTTAACAAATTCACGACAATATAGATTTGAGGAGGCTCTAAGGGCTAACGTATATGTTTATATCAAATCACCAACAATGATGCGACAGTGGGCCTGTTTTTAAGACTCTCACCATAAATGTACCTTCAATTATAGTAAGTTTTCCAATTTCAGCTGAGTTGATAATTAGAAGGCAGCATCAATTGTCAAAGTTTGGTTTTGCAATTCTGCTAAATATAATTCTACTGACAAGTGGTTGACTACGTCAGATACTCAAAGTTCCATGAAAGAACTGGTCTGAGATCAAGCCAGTAAGAGGATGGTGCACGGAGATGATAATTATTAGTAATTCAAAATTCCCAATTTTTTTCAGTGCTGAAACTCCAGTCAAATAATTTTACTTAATTATTTTCCAGCAGGAATAGCCAATCCATTGCTATTTCATATATAAACGTTTAAAAGTATCAACCATGGACTTTGTGTAAAAGTCAAGTTTTTTTGTTTAAACCCAAAAACGATTGAAGCTTTCGTGAAATAGGAACGTTGTGATTGTTAAATTTTACATAAGAAAATATTAGGAGTTGTACTTCGTTTACGTGTGTATTCATTTTCAGTTACAGAATGTAAAATTCTACATTTCCGGATGAGAATTCCTCCAGCCTAAAGTCTCCACCTAGTGTCAATACGGCATCACTGTAAGAATATCCGTTTCCCATTACATGGGAATTTCAGCCAAATATGATGTAATCACTTACTTAAATGGCAAGGTAAATAACATCCTGCAGTCAATATGGAGCAGATGCTAGTGGCAGATCCACACGAAATGTCACCACTCACTTTTGCTGCCGGGAAGCCACAATGACAACACAGTCCACAGGTCTCTCACTGTCGTACTGTTTTTGAATTTCATCATAAAACTTTAGGTAGAGCTCTTCACGCTTGATTTCATCTCCTGACCAAAATATAGATAAAAGCATTTAGCGTAAGATATCGTTCGAATATTACAATTTTCCTAAAATTTCTAATGCTGTCCGGTGAAGCAAGCTGCAGTAATAAAAAAATATTTCAGCACATTTGATGATATATCTAATTCACCCTACATGTTAAAAACTGTAACATACTTTATCAATCTCATCTCAAAAAGTGACAAGTTAGAACTAAAGAGTTTGCAGGGCAGAATTATAGATGGAACCAGCAAATAAAACATTAAAAACTGGAGCTGCTAAGTTTGTGTATGCAAGAGAAAAAAGCTAAGCACATTACATAATGCACTGCAGTCCCTTCATCTATATATTTTTTTTGCAAACGTTTTTGAATATAATTTACATTTAGATCACACACATGATATAATAAGCTGACAGACCTGATGAAGGCATGTCTCTGGCTGGTAGCTGGTCTTCATCATCGTATGATGGCCCTCTACAAAATTCAATAAAACAAAAAAAACACCATTACACCATTTCTCACAACCAAAAATATAACTCAAAATACCAATCGTGCTCTGCAATGAATACTCCAGTTACCTGAAAGGTGGCTCGCTTTGGTTGTCTCCACCCCACAGCGAAGTGTTGGGTCCGTTATTTCCAAAGCCACCCCTGCCAGGCATGCCCCCCCTGCTTGACATGCCCCCCCTGCTGGACATGCCCCCCCTACCGGGCATTCCCCCTCTTTCGTGCATGCCCCCTCTTTCGTGCATGCCCCCTCTTTCGTGCATGTCTCCTCTTTCGTGCATGTCTCCTCTTTCGTGCATGCCCCCTCTTTCGTGCATACCCCCTCTTTCTCGCATGCCCCCTCTTCCGTAAATGTCCCGTCTTTCGTGCATGCCGCCTCTATCAATCATACCTCCTCTGCCAGCCATGCCCTCCCTATCGAACATGTTGCCTCTACCACCCATGCCCTCCCTATCGCGCATGCCATCTCTTCCAGCCATGCCCTCCCTATCGAGCATGCCCCCTCTGTCGTGCATGCCCCCCCTGTCGTGCATGCCCCCCCTGTCGTGCATGCCCCCTCTGTCGTGCATGCCCCCTCTGTCGTGCATGTCCCCCCTGCCGTGCATGTCCCCCCTGCCGTGCATGTCCCCCCTGCCGTGCATATCCCCCCTGCCGTGCATGCCCCCCATGCCACCCCTATTGGGCATCCCCCCTCTGCAAGGCATTCCACCCCGGCCAGGCATGCTGCCCATAAGTGGTTTGCTGTTCATTATGTAATGGGGACCGCCATGGAACACAGGCCGCTCATTCCGCGAGACCATCCTGTCCCGGGATGGGAAAAGCCGTGGCACCCTCCTGTCATCCCTCTCCCGCGAGGCTCTCCGCTCGCGTGACCCCTCCTTTGAACGCCTGCGGTCGTCACGGCGCTCCCGGCTGGCACGCTTTTCTCTGCCACTCCTTGCTGATGAGTCGCGGTGGCCATCGCGAGACGAGGGTGACCGGGACTTATCACGGGTCGAGCGGTGCCTCGAGTCTTGGCCCGATGACCGCTCAGGAGACCGCCTGGGAAGAAAGCTTCCATGCATTACCGTGCATGCAGACGCCACCTGAAAATAAACTTGCAAACATTGGCCGAACTTTTGCAAAACACAGGTGCCGAGCTACTGGGATTAATACAAACATGAGCATAAAGGCAATTTATTTATTTTAATGAGAAATAAGACATGCAAGGATAACTATAAAACCATTATATATTTTTATGAACATTCTAGAAAAAATTACCACGAATATTTTTTTATGTTGCATGTTTTTGACATTGACTTAAAACTCTGGTGCTCAAAAATGCATTTAACAATCAAACAATGGTCACTAGATATATCGTTCAGCTTGCTATAAAAACAGCAAAAACAAATACTGACCTCTTTGAATCATCATTTCTGTAGAAATCACAATTATAACAATGTTAAATAATATAAAAACAATTAAACATTCATCTAACCATCAGCCAAGGGAGGTGTATTCACAACACTCAATAGTAAAATTACCAAAGCGTGCATCTCATTCTTAAAATGGTGTGAAATATAAATAAGCAAAAGACCAAGTGAAGTGGCCGAGATTGTTTATATATTAATAACATCAATGTTAAAACCAGGCACACATGTCTATTAGTCTTGGTAACAGCTAAGATTTACAGTCATATCATATACATAAAAAGATTGCCATTGTAAGACATATCAAGTGTCTTGTCAACCACACAACTCAAATATTTAAGAAAAAAACCCGAACATTAAAATGAAAGAAAATACACAAAGGATGGCGTCACCGACTCTTCAAATAGAATTGAGAATTTCCATTAAAATATAATGGATATACACAAATGTCATCAAAACAAGTGGTTAATCAAGTGATACATATATATTGAACTATTAAACACACTTGCTGCAAAAACTATTGAATGAGTGGTTTATACACAGAACTTCAAATTAAAATGGCCATTTTCAAGTTAATCTTGAATGATTTTTCAAAGGCTTTCCATAAGGGTGTCTTTCTGAAATAATGTACCCAGACAATTCCACTGCAGATTTTATGCATCCGTGTAAAAATGTCAGTAAAGTCTGAAGTGTAATTATGTGCTCGATTAAGTAAACTGTATGTCAGAGGGGCAGAAAGGCCACTTGTGATTTGCCGACGCGAATGAAGATGCTTTGTGACTAGAACACAATCAATAACTGTCTTGCAACTACACATGCAGATTTCATATGAAAATTGTTTGACATCGGCAATGCCAGAAAGCTGTTTTAAAGACAAACATTTTACAAAGGTGGCTAAACCACGGATTTTTGCTCGTGATTCAATGTTGACAACGTTTTGTTTAAATGTTGAACATTGTAAATAAACTAAATGTATACCACATTCAGATTATTTGGGTCTTTCGGTACAGTCACATAGATAGGTTGAAAGTCACGTAGATAGGTTCAAAGAAACTATCTACGTGACTTTACCAAAATACCCAAAGAATATGAATTCATGCAGTCACGAAAGCTTTAACTCAAGATTTATGCCAAATTAAATTTCATATCTTTAGGAACCTGCATAAAAAACATCACATTGGTTAAATGTTTAGGCTCTTCAGTAGAATAATTATGTAACTTTCAGAGAAACCACTTACACATATATATGAATAAGATTATTGACAGAAAGCAACAAAAAAATATTAGAACATGTTTTTCAGTAAAAAAAACTATAACATCATTTAGTAAAATTTCCAAATCACTATGTAAAGTGTGACAAGCTCCAAAGTGAAATTTGCTTCCATTGTTTGACAATATGGTAGCTAAAATTGTTAGAATGGTTGTAGTTACATTAATGTATGCATGAGCAACACAAAAAGGCTTTCATAATTAAAAGTGAATCTCTACAAGGCAAACAAGTGGTTCAAAATGTCCAGATGGCATAGAAACAAAAATACTTTTCAATCCTTTAAAACACATGCGTGCACGCCATTCGTAGAAATGTTGGTGTTTGGGGCTGAGGACTGATTTCTTTTACCTTTTGTCACTTTTTGGTGGACTGACTTTAGGCATTGGTCTCTTTCCACTCTGAAACCACACAAATCTCTGCAATAAAGTAGTGATGACAGAGATTTAATAAGACTGCATGTCAACACAACAGTTAAAAAAACTGAAAAAAGCTAAGTCAAATGTGGTGCACAATGGTCATAAATCACAAATGCTAAGCCTGTATAATTTAAGAATTATGTTATAACATGGGATAAATGCTTGTCTTAATTGGCTTACCAATGATGTTGCATGCATATCAAATTCTAAATATGCACTGCACTGTAATTTAACAAAATATATGCACGAGTTGGATTATAAATGATGGAACTTTATGTGAAATCCATGTAATTTGGCATCAAAAATTGTCTTGAAATGAACCATTTGCATGCAACCATACCCCACCAGTGTTTGGTAATGCAGGGTGGACATTAATCATGAAATTATCAGAGGCACTAACGAATACTTATTTTTCAAATGTCCTGCACCACAATATTTACAAACACATCCTGTGCAGAACACCTTATTTTTTGCTAAATATATTTTATCCATGACAATCTCTCCAAGCTTTTGTGTCAGCTGAAAAGTGGAAACAGCGAAATATAATGTACATAGTGCACCACTTTGTAAAAGCACTGAATATTTCTGCGTTTCACATTTTAAGAAATTACATGAAGGCATGTGGAGTGTTACCATAGTTATGGAAAATAGCTGCGCAATAGCCAAAGCGATATACGGCACTCCCAACTCACTTAAAAGAGGTAACATTTAGAAGGTAATTATCTGTTATTTTAGCTCGTATGCAACGGAATAATTCAATGGCTTGGCTTATACTAAACTGAAAAGCACCTTCCCAGGGTGGACTAAAGTTCGTCTGAGTAGGCTTTACATGGCATTTTGAGGCTTTATAATAATCGCGTATATTTCCGTTTAATGAACCCTAATTGGTTCCAAGTCCACTTAGCGACCAATGTTGGAGTTTAGTGAAGTTCAACAGCAGTTTCCCCGACCACCATATAATAAAACGTAGCAGTGAGATGTGCACAATACTAAGGTAACATTCGTATTGCGTTCTAGCAAATCGGGGAACAACGTGACAGCATTAAAGTGCAGTACTGCACTATTACTTTAGCTGGACCACTGCCTACACCGACTAGGGACCATCCATTTATTACATTCGCAAAAATCTGTCAAAAACTTGACCCCCCCCCCTCCCTGCACGCATGAGTACTTTTTACACCCCACACTACCTGCGTGCGTACGCTTGACGCACCACCCCCCCCCCCCCCGAATCCTATAGAACGGCCGATATTTCCACCGGACTATCTAACTCATTTGAAGGCCAATGTAGAAAAAAAATATTATCGAGGTATTGAGGCTCCCCCCGTTTCCTATGCGTACGCACATTGTCAGTAGACCTCCCCCCATACGCAAGCGTACGCATTTGGGTTAACCCTCATCCATGCGTAGGTACTAAATGGATGGCCCCCTACCCCATGGTCGCTCAGTTGCTGAGGATCTGACGAGATCGGAGTTGCTTTCCGACTGATTTGGTCATTGGCCGCCTTCAGAGTGCCCAAGCAACAACGTTCGAAAACGCATTTTTCTGCAAATCGTAATTGCCCGCTGTTCAAATGGCTGTTATCCTTTGGCGATGTCTTGACCGTGCATTGATTACAACGGGATGCCTGTAACGTGCATGAGGGGGTTTCTCTCATTTAATTATTCGCGTTTAAAATGTGCATCTATAACAGGCCTTTATTGTATGACATGCACAGCCCAACCGGCGTGGCCTGAATTTTCGAAAGTTTAGATGCGACCGATGTTTTGACGCTTCTACGTACGCAGTGCTGTCAAACAAAGCTTTCATTTTCCACCGTCTTTACTCAACCTATAAAACAATGCACGGCTGCACACGTTATTCCAACTGTACGAGCAGCCCAATAAAGCCCTTCCAAATACAATTTTTAGAAGTACGCTCAAAATGTGCGTAACAAGGCAAGACCTCGAACGTGGCGCAAACGAATCGAAACTGTATCCGTGCATCGCAACAGTAGGCTATTACACATTTTTCGACTCGCATGTTGAGCATTCGTGCGATTCAGCCATCCTCGCTGTCAAGGGAAGTGTTTTGTTTGCAACGTTTATCGCGAACGAGAAGACGCGCGAGGCGATGCGAGGCGAGCGGGGCAGGCTGCAACGTTCGCACGAAGGCCGCGCTCGCCTACATAGGGCGTTCCGATTTGCCCGGCGCAGTTTGCTTTCTGCTCACCTTGATGTCAACCGGGCTCGGCTTCAACAATGACAACGCGATTGCTGGACGTTAAATTGAAATGGAATTGTTTTTTTTTTCTCCCACCTCAAAGGTGCTTGCCGAGGCCAACGCGGTCAAGCGCTAAGATGGCGGGGGTGAGGATGTAAGGGCGGGAAACCGCGGGGTTCACTTCCGGAGCAAAGTCGATTCCACTTCGCGATCAGAATCGATGCTTTCAATTGTTTCACTCTGCCGTACTTAACGCTGCGGAGTCGATTATACTACGCGGTTGGAATCGGTGCGGTCGATTATTTAGCCCCTACCGTTCTTCCCCAGCGGAGTCGATTCGACTTCGTGCCCCGAATCGGTGTGATCGATTAATTAACTCTTCCGTACTTCCGCAACGGAGTCGATTCGACTTCGCCCTCGGTTTTATCGAATAATTAACTCTACCGAATAGTTAATTAAAATGTAATGTTTTTATTTATATTCCCGTTGGCTCAACACACTCGTCAATAACAATACCTTAAACCCAGTGGCTCTTCTTAACCTGAGTGTGCGAGATGCCCTTTCTGGGTGGTGCGAGACGTCCAGTTTTTTTAAAGTTAAATCGAAATACTAATTAAGCAAGGGCACGTAAGTACAACTTACTTTGTTTCATAACACCCTATGTATTAACATTGTACTTTGTTTTATAACGATTGGAAACCAAAGGGGTGCAAGGCTGCAGTAAGGGTTTATAACTACTGCCTTAAAAGTAAAAAAAACGGTGACGTTCCAGGCAATAGCCCTGCTTCATGTAGTAATAATTACACGTTATAATAATCTCCATATATATAAAAGGCAAAGTTGTGAATGTGTGTCTGTTCAAAATGTTTAGCGTACTTCCCGACATGCAACAAACTGGAAATTTGCCATGTGGGTACTTTCCAGACAGTACACCGTGCACAAATGATAAAAAGACACTTGTTTTTTTTTTGGGGGGGGGGATCAATAATGCATTTATATTTTGCACGGCAAGTGAGCTGTGACGTCAAATCTGTCACGTGACCCGCGCATGTGGAAGCGTATCGCATTGTAGTGTAGTGGTTAGCGCGCTGTGTATGTGTCTGTGTTTGTGTTTAAGATCTGGGCAGGGTCCCATCGGTGAGCTCCTCCGGCAGGCAAGGCTGCGATGGCTGGGTCATGTAGCCCGCATGCCCAGCCACCGCATGCCGAAACAGCTTTTGTTTGGCCGGATTGAGGGGGCTAAGCGGGCGCGGCACGGGCTAGAGAAGAGATGGAGTGATGTGGTACAGGAGGACGTGGAGCTGAGTGGACTTGCCGATGACTGGTACCAGCGGTGTCAAGATCGGCCTCTGTGGAGGAGGCTCGTGAAGGATGCTACTGGGCAGTTGGAGGCAGTCGCCCTCCAACAACAACGGAGGGCGGAGGAGCGACGCTCAGAACAACGAGCGGAGCGCCGGGTGGCTAAAGCACAGCAGGTTGGCACAGTAGGGGGCACAGGTGGTGCATCAGCCAGTCATCTCAGTCGACCCGTGGCACTTGGGTCTGCCCCGTGACCTCCTGCCAGCGGGCGTTCGACACTTCACGTGGCCTCAGGGTGCACATAGCCTGGCACAAGCGTCGTGGTGACGTCACCGCCACTTAGTGGCGAATGGCGGTTGTTGTGTGTGTGTGTGGAAGTGTAACGCATTGTAGTGTAGTGGTGAGCGCGCCGCGCTACGAATACGGCAACCCGAGTTCGATTCCCGCTCACGGCCACCACCGGTGACGATTATTTCAACCGCTCCTGGGCCTCCCCTAGGTCGACTCAGCCTCAAACGAGTAACTGCTGTGCTGTGTGAACATCGCCACTGGGGAGACAAAGGCGGCCGGGCGTGGTGAATCGAAGTCCCGGGCGAAGCCGGGTAGTGAAACTAGTATATCATATACGTATGCTATACATACAGTATTATGCTTTTAAGTTTTGCTGGCTGGCTGGCGCGCGGACATGTGTGCGGTGGTGACGTCACAGCGCCCGTCTGCGTCGTGACGTCACCCGCATCCCCACAGTGCTGAGCCGGGTTCGTGCGTGCTGGAGGAATCCGATCAGCTATAAAGCTATTTTTAACAGATGTCCAGTAGGGGTGGGTCAGATCGTTACAACAGTACAAAAACACGATATGAGTACAAAGTATAGAACACGTAAACAAGTCACTTTAAATATATATGAATAAAACTAAACGTTTGTTTTTATCTTACCAGGTATATCCAACTGAGGTATTAGCTTATTTTTCAGAAGCTACCTTCTGACGAGCCAGGGTTATGGCACCTTGACGCCCATGGGATGCGAGTTTCACAACATTTGTGTGATTTTCACTCGCCCAAAGGCAATCATGATCTCTGTAACCTTCAACATGGTCATCAGTCAACGTTAACAAAAAATACATATAACTGGTATAGGTCAAAAGTATTCCAATGGTGAAAAATGAACTCCATATCATCATCATGGGACCTCCATATCACTCAGATTTAATTAAAGAAAAATCATTACAAGACTACATGTAGCAACAACGCCACCTACTGCGAAAACTTGGCAGGACCCTTTTGGAAGAGTTCAAGCAGAATGCCACATGCCATGCACAGCATGCTGGAAGGACCAAGTTTTTACTCACAATAGCACATTTTACTGTTTGATGTGTTTTCATCATTTACAGAAAGTGTTAGAATTGGGTCAATTCATTTTCAAGCAACCTGCTCACGATACGCAGAAGCTATCATTCAGTCACTATCACCACTCCTCCGGGCATGCTCCAATAATTGCCAGCAGATGGCATCCTCTGCCAGATCATTTTCACGCATTTTCTGCGAGATTTGTCGCGTTAAGAAGCCTGGGACCCAAATCCTGTACAAAGCCGTTGAGCCGACTACCAGCCACCAACCCAGTCTAATGAAGAAACACGAAGCAATGTTTTACGAATCAGTTCGGTCTCGTCAGATCTCAGAAGCTAAGCAGCGTTGAAGCAGGATAGTACTTGAATGGGAGACTGACTCGGAAAACCAGGTGGTTGTTGGCTTGGGCTATAAGGTGGCTAGGAAATGGCAGGACAGTATACAATGAATATTATAATCTGTACAAAGCTTTTGAGTATTATCCCATCGATATGCCAGGGTTTATCCAGGTTATCTGGATTAATCTCACTCCAAACACTCATGAATGAATTGGCCATATACTGTATCTAAATGAAGGACCCTCAGGGTTTTCCGGGTGAAGTGCATTATTAGTGTGCGCAAACACAAAATATCAGCCATGATCAACCCACTGATGGATCAAAGCCTCCCTAAGATATTGCCATCCATCACGGTCCTCGGTGTAACTTATGAAGCGTGGTTATTGTACATTAATCACTTTTATAACACATGAAATTCTGCCATTCAGAGGCATACTGACTAGGGTTGCCGCGATATCTAACAAATGTGGTCGACGATCATATCATATTCTTAGTTCTTTCGGTAAAGTCACGTTGAAGGGAAACAATAAAATAATAAAATATATAAAACAAAAATTCTCACGACGTTTCGACCATAACACAAACGGTCGTCATCAGGTGTGTCGGTAAAACATTACACAATATCGTCGTAATTATCGTTGCTAATTCCATTATTCTAAAACATTTCGATTTAACGATTCAAAAGAAAATGCTTATTGCAGCAAAATCACTCGTTTAAAAAAAATGCGCAATACGATTGCAACGTATGTGGCGATAATCGCATATCGTTAAAGCGTGTCGTGCAACACGCCACGTGGCCGAGCGTCAACCCGTTAGGGGGGGGAGGGGCTGTAAAAGACGTCACCCGCCCCTTGTAAACAAAGATCACGTGGGGGGGGCAAGCGGTGTGACGTCACGCGCGCCGACGTCACCGCCCGGGCACCATCTTGCGCGGCTAGGCCAGGAGGAGGAGGAGGCGTCGCGCGATGGAATTACCCGCCTAGCTCCCACCTCTAACCCTACCACTTGCGTCTTCCTCTCGAAGTGAGAACGCGTTTCTTTTCGTCGACCCCTTTTCGGCTCGCTCGCCCGCTCGCGTCGTCGCAGCGCCGCGGTTTTACGCCGACCTCGAACCTCTCGCCCTAGTTTCGTTAAACGGGCGGCGGCCTAATCTGTTGAGCCTCGTTTCTATTTGATACAGCGCATAGGGAGGACGTGTGGTGGGGGGGGTGGCAAGGGGCGTCGCGATTGGCGGGAGGATCGCGACGTTTCCCGCGTCGCGATTGGTCGGGCTCCGGAGTTCGCCGACCAACGAGCGGACGGGGGGGGGGGGAGCGCCGGCCGAACCGCTCTGGGAAATGCATTTATGTGGATCTTGTGTGTGGCACCGTTCCTGAGTGAGTGCCGACGCCGCGAGGGAGGGAAGAGGCGAGGCCGTTTTAGGTAGTAGGGGGGGCCTTTTGGGAGAGAAATGGGTTGAGGGGGGACATGCAATTGGGGGGGGGGGTTCGTGTGTGGTGGCACCTTTCCTGAGCGAGTGCGGACGACTCGAGGGAAGAGAGGCGAGAGAGAGAGAGTGAGAGAGGGGGGCCTTTTTTTGGGGCCATTGTGAGAAGAGGGGAAATTAAATCGCGGCACTAAACGGGGCCGGGGCCGAATCGCGTTTTACTCGGTTGAAACTGGCGTTGCCCGGTGAGGCCCGCACGTCGTGGGTGTGGACCGTTGTCGGAAAGCCGCGTTGTTGTGGTGTGCTTTAACGTGTTTTTTTTTTTACCGGGGCCGTGTGATTTTTTTTTGTGCGGTCGTGGCTACGCGCTGCCCGGGAGGAAAGTCGTCGGGCTCGTGAGCGAGCGGCCCCGCCCCTGTGTGTCTATAGCTGCTGCTGCTGTTGTTGTTAAACAGAGAACGAAATACGTGGTGACACCACCCCCCCTCCCTCCTCATCCTCCTCCTCCTTACCTAAACCCTAGCGTCTACTGCAGACGGGTAACGCGCAACTCGGGTGCATCCCCGGGGCTGTCTTCCCACGTAACTTCTAATTTTCGTTCATGTTTATATATATAAAAAAATAGTAATACTTTTTGAGTAACGCGAACGCACTTCCGTTGTGACACGCTTAAGTTCTTGTTACAAGGTGCGCTCATCCAGTACAGGGATGTCCAACCACAAAGATACGGTTTGGGGAGGCGTTAAGTTCAACAGGATGGGTGGTGCCAGTCGCTGGTTTGCTATATTTTGATTATAGGAACAGCTAGTACTAGTAGTGGCTGATTGGTGTCTTCGGGTCGAACTATTTGGCCTTCTGTTGAGAGTGAGGAGTAGACCTACGAGTGACTGGCTGGCTAGTTCGGGTTCAAGCGAGTTGGGCTTGTGTTTGGTGGGCTGGTGAACTCTGCCTTGAAACTGCTGGCTACTCTCTTGTTAACCTCTACAGTACTATTTCTCTACAAAACGATACTGTAAGCCACAACATATTTTGTTACCTGCTGGGAATTTCCCGTAGGCCTTACCAAACATTGTCTGGAATGTTGTTTGGGTATTGTCATATAATAATTCTACTGTACTGTGATGTGTTGTAACGTCTGAATGAGCCGATTCAGTCTATCACCCCTCAGATATAGAATGCATTAGTGCCACTTTGCATACAGTCTAAAGCTGTGGAGAAGCTGGCCTTCTCATGGGAATGTGGAATTTCCATAGTTCGCTCACGGCACTCAATGAATATAGACACACCCCCTCTCGTGCTTGAGCATACAGATGCTTTTCAACTAATAAATGTCAGTGTGTACTGTAATGTACAGTGCAGTGTGCGAGTGGCGTTGGCATTACACTTATAATATGTGGGTTTCGACTGGCTTGCACCCAACTCAAACAACAACTCCTTGACTTCCACAGACTCATCAGTTTGTTTAGTGCTGTTGTATGAGCACTTACATTTGGAATGTGAGTTCAGATGTCTATCTGGAGGTGCATCTAAGCCCATCATATCTTGAAATGAAAACCACTTAACCAGTCGACAGTGGTCATCCGGTATTGAGACTAGCCTCTGCCAAAGAAATGTGGAGTTTCCACTGTCAGCTCTCAGGGCACCATCCATAGCAAGCATTTCTGCTTTGAGTTTGGGGGGGGGCATGTTGATTTGACTTTTTGTTCACCGCTATTTCTGCCCGTAAGATTAACAGCGTGTACAAAAGTTAAACATAACTGATAAATGATATTCCTGGCTGGATCATCCAAAAGTGGAAAATATTATACCTTGTGCACTTTGGACTACAACATCTCTGGTCACAGTATTTGTGCTTTAGAGAGATGAAAAGTAGGAAAGATTTATGTCTTTTGATAATTAATTGTTACTTTAAATCAGTTTTAACCTTTTAGAGGTTAATTCTGCTTAATAATAAGAAACCTTGTGAATTGTATTTCCTTCCGTGGTGTCAAGGGGTCCACTCTTGTGTTTTTGCTTTGCACAATAATCCATAAACGCGAATCATGTGTTGAATGCAGGACTTACTCAGGAGGCTGAAAACCTGCAGCAGCTGTTAAGCTGGCAGCTTTCCACATGTTTGAGCCAGCAAATCACACTTTTGGAAGAGTAACGCAATCCTGTCCTCCTTTGATGCAAACGTAGCTGAGAGATATAAAATGTGCTAACTGATAAAATACAATAATCATGATTCTGTCATGTCATAAATCAGTATTGGAGTGGCTCTCCTCCATTGGCTAGGGGATGAAAATTCCACATTCCTTTGGCTCAAGACAGTCCGTCTCTTTGAACTTTCACTTTTGACTTCCATGGTGTAGTGCTCCTTTATTCCGGAGGGATGATGGGTTGAGTCATCCCTTGACTGAAGTGTACATTTGTAAATTAAGTAATCTATCCACATTCCTACCAGGCCAATATCCCTATTGTTGATTATTGCTACCACTAAGAACGTTTCGTAAACATTTAGCTGTGGTTAGTGTCATGCAAGCATTCTGCATTGCTTTATACATCACTTTGGGAAATATTGCTCGACATGACATGACATGCAGGTGTCTGCAGGGAAGGTTAATCAGTCAACACACTGTCATGCCTTGAATCCAACATCACGGCTGGGATACGATAATTATTTATTTTTGATAGAGCGCCATTTGTACCAGGGCGTTGGAGCACTTAATACACGATAAATTACTTACATCACATCTCAGCTGAAACATGAAAGAGCACCCCCAGTGGCAGCTGTTCATGTGCGGCACAAGGTTATTTGGCACCTGGCTGGAAGTTGACATTAGTCTGCCGGTCAGGAGCGGCGATTGGTATCTGTAATCCAAACTGAGTAATCCGTGGTTAATTGTTCGAATTTGGACCAGGATCCCAGCACACAATTGTCTAATTTCGAATTCTGTTGGGATCTTCAGTGTCCACTGTGAAGCGGACGGAGCTTAGTATTTTATGGTTAATACATATCAGGGTGGCCTGCCGTTATCAAACCGCGAACATCTGCAACAAGTAGCGAACATGCTACCTCTGGGCCGTGTCACTATTGATAAGTTGAAGGATCCTTGTCCCAGGGCCTATCTGGCATGTGTTTGGTCCTGAACAGGGCTATTGGAGTGGCTTGTGCTGTCTCTCTAGAAGACCGGGAGATCGATGATCGATGTATGATATTTGGTCACCGCGTTAATGGCATTCATCGTGATTTCTCACTGAACAGAGTGGTCCGTGCAAAGGCTGCCATCTTCCACTCCTGAATGTGAAATTGTAGTTACGCTGCATCTACATCAGCCACAAGAAAGAAGAAGAACCATTGATCACACTTATATGGGAATGTGTGTTTCCCCAGGCAGCCATGGAGATGTCGGCCGGCTCACTGGTGACACTGGTCATCAAGGCACCCAACCAGAAATATGATGACCAGACCCTGGAGTGTGGCCTGGACTGGACTGTACACAGGCTCAAGTCTCACATCAGCGAAGTGTACCCTGGCCATCCGGTACACAACACATGCCCTCGCACATACTGTGTGCCTTATAAGTGTGGGTCTTTAGTTGATGCAACGGCTTAAGTCCCCCACCTCCGATTAGCACAGTTGGCTACGTACTGTGGAAAAAAAGTTAAAGATACATACATACATACAAGTCCCATTTCCAGGTTCTTTGATTCAAGGTTACCCTGTGTATTAAAGCCTATCGCCAAATCACCCGGAATGTGCTCAAACTCTTGTTAGATATTGGATGTGAAGTGTGGTTGAGCCTTTATAATGCTGGATGGCTGACCACCATGCACCATCGATTGGCATAGGTGACTTTGGGACTGTGCCTTGTGGTGGTCAGCAGAGGGTTGTGAGGAAAAATACATTGTTGTGCTGTGCATCTGTGCTCCCCACGTTCACCATCCTGCACTGACCACCATGGTGAAGCATGGTCAAGTCACCCACAACCCATAGAACACGCGGAAGCTGTCATCCAGTACTGGATTGATGAACGAGCTGTGTTGGTACATGTTTGTCAAAAGTATCTGCCAACGAGTGGGGCTGTTGGTCCAGCATTTAATTTATATTCATAAGTTCGCAAGTTCAGAGTCCACTTAGGGAGCAAATCAGCCTGTCATATTTCCATGATTGACATATATAGTCAGCCATGATTGTAGTTTTTAGAGGTTGTCTACCACCATGGAAATGTGAAACTTCCACTGCTGGCTCAAGTGCCTCCGATGGACATAAGTAGCACTCAAAATACACTTTTTTTACTTTGTTGTATCCAACGTTTAGATCATATATTTTTTTAGATGTTTCAATAAACATCTGAATATTGCATCTTTAAGCCATCATTTGCAAAGTACACGTTACATCTGTGCCATATTTTTGCATGATTTGTTGTCTACACTTAGTCTGTTTAGCCAGTGAGTTTCTCTGGTTCAATCACATGATTTTTCTTTTGTCCTTTAGTAACCCACTGTTGATTTTTCCTGAAACCCCCTATGTTGGGTCATGATAGTGGCTCCCTTGATCTCGTAGAAGCTGGATTGTTTGTACCAACTTGATAGCGATGAACTGCTCGTAATTCATTACAAACTCTTTGCTGTCAGAGCAAAGGCTGACGAAGCAAATTGTTTGAACAAGCTAAAATTTTGTGTGCTGGCCGTGTTCAGTCTAGATAAACCCAGGTACATGCCATAATACAGTATTTCTAAACATTACAGACTGATTTTTGGATGATTTCACATGTCTTCAGGGCATCAAGGATCAGCGACTCATCTACTCTGGGAAGCTGCTGTTGGATAACCTGATGCTTAAGGATGTTCTGAGGAAGGTAATGCTGGACAGGGGTTGGTATCTGTAATCTTTTTTTTTCAATTATGTTTTCTAGTTATAGCCTTGTTGTACGGTTGCTGGCACACAGCATGAAGCATCTGCATAATTTCATCATCCCAAACAGAACAGAAAAACTGTGAAAGCTTTTCACAATTTGCAATGACAATTGTCTGACGTATTGTTATGCAAATAATACACTAAAAACTATTTTTTATTTTAACCAGGTAAGGCCCACTGAGCTATATAGCTCTTTTTCAGACGGGACCTGGCAACAAATGATAGCTCAACGAAGTGGCTTATCAAGTGGAAAAATCCACGCGACCACGGGGAGAACATGCAAACTCCACCTATACAGGCGTCGGGGTCGGAATCGAACCCACGACCTCCTGTATACCTGGCGAGGTAGTTAACATCTCACCACCATGGCGCCCATCTATTTAATAGATAGCCATTTAATTATGTAGTTAATATTAATGGGGTCTAACCTATATTAGAAATGGATACAAAGTATTTTACCGTGCTTAATGAGAGTAGATATATTTAAATGATACTGGAGAGTCCTATGGTACATTTTCTTGGCGAACACTTCCAGACGTCTCAAACCCCAGTCCTTCCTGCAGTTTGCCGTGTTTGCCAATATTCGGGTGCGTATGGCTTAAAATTGGTTAATTTGCATTTTGATGGAGAAGATTGGTAACCCTGAAAAATAACACTGTGGTGGGTGACAAATACTGGAGATTGAGAAGAAATACTTAGCATATGAATTGTGATGAAGAAGTTGATGGTTACAATGAATGCACAATCTCTTTCCGGGCCAATATTTCTCCTGTCCTCCACATGTTTTAGTATGACGAGTTCCACACGGTACATCTGGTGTGCCCTTCATCGAGCCCCCCAGCCTCACCACGGCCCTCCAACCAGCCCGGCTTTGCACAGGTGAAGCTGCTTACGTTCAATCATAAACACGTATGTTCATTTTGGACACTCGGCGCCGTCTCGTAACATGATACTACTGCATTTGCGTCTGGAAGCTTGTTCCCCTGCGGCGCAGCATTGAAGCAACGGCAGCAAGGTGCAGGACACATGAGTCTTGGTGGGATGAAAATACGTAATGGAGAAGTTTATTCAAGGGCAGAAGCAATGGAAATGCTTCCTTACCAAAATTCATACCTAGCTTCTAAACTGCTGGTTTTATAAAAAAAAAAACATTCGTGATATAGCTACTGGAGAGTACCCACAGTGCAAGTATTGTCACTATGTTGTCAAGTATACAGGTTATTATATGGATGTTTTTCAATCGTACTACGATGAAAAACTACATGCCTTGAGTTTCCTGGCTGGCTGACGGCTGGCCTCCTCCACTCCCACACACACTCTTGCTACTGGCACTGAAGAGCTGGGAGTAACAAATACAGAAAATTTAAAATGGTTAATTTAAAACGTTTCACTTTGTGCGCCTATTAGTGTAATTCTTTCACCAGAATATTCTTGAAATCATAGAGAATATTAAAAAAAAAACCGTCTAAATACATATTATCATGGTACAGGATTGTAGGAACAATCTAAAATGACAGATGTTTCTTATTTCCATCGCTGTGTAAGATGTTCTCTACAAGTTTATTTGAAATGCAACAGTTGGCGGTAGAACTACTGCTGCTGGTAACCCATATTATTTGCTCTGGCATTTAGACAATTTAATGGTAACTATAATAACACATGTCAAAGGAGTCTTAACACTACTTTATTGCTGAGTTCTGCATTGGGATGCTGAACCATTTAAGTTTTAAGGAAGCATTCATATGTGGGAGGAAACTGGAGTACTGATTGAAAACCTTTGCAAATGAGAGGATACCACTCAACGCTCTAGACAGGCTCACAAACAACACATGCTTTTGTTAGTCTGTTTCTAAACAGTTGGAAATATGTAAATATAACTCATCTCCACAATATCAACCAAACTCTCATTTGCAAGCTCGTTGTTTCAAATGTGCACCTGATATGAGTAGGGTTGTTTTCGTGGCCACAGTTTGTGGGTGTTGTTCAAGGGAATGGTTTGTTTTCGAGCCTTCGGGTGCCTACGGAAACCACTTGGCAAGATTTTCCCAATAGTAACCCCAAAACTCAAGAAAAAAAACGCAGTGGGAAAAGAGCCATTTCCTTCGCTGTGTTTATTTAGTGTCCGGCCAATTATTTAATTTCATGATGAGCTAAACCCCTTTTCCCAGAAGTAAATTTAGCTGGTTGGGGTGAATGCCCTTAAAACACAGATACTTGGATGCCAGTATTGACATATTAAATGGATTGCCGGAGTGATGGTATTTAGAAACAGCAGTGTAGTTCTGCGTGTTCGACTGACTTGAGTAAATTGTACAAAAAACTTGGCCCTGGTTACTTTACCTATTTTGAACGATGACCAAATCGTGTTGTGCCCTTTGGTTATGTAATACCGGCCACAGTTATTTATTTAAGATAGATAAGATTTGTTCAGTTGCGGCCACAAAGCCCAGAGCTTTATTTGCACGTGTTGATGCTGAGTTAGTTTTCACATAGTCTATGGTTTGATTCCTGTACTAATCTAGGGATTTACCAAAGCATGCCAGCTGCTGCATGGTGGACATCAAAGGTCTTGTGATATAATTTTTGAGAGTAGGGTTGTGTGGTGTCATAGCCAGGTTTCTCAAATAATCACCCACAAGTGCCATGACATTGGTGTACAGTTTACTGTCATGATCAACCATCCATCTCTGCTTCAGAAATAATTTCAACTGTTGAGTTTGATCAAGTGGCTGTCTGATTGTAACTGTCATCGTTGCTCATTTTTCGTGGGACTGTGTCAGCTATCGGAGACGATACGCAGTGGAGCGGCATCGGCCTATGTCCCCACCCGGCCGAACGTCACCACCATGCCCTCCTCCCAGGGTGTGGGTGCCGACGGGTTAAGGCAACGACACGTGGTCATGCCATCGGCCTACCCACCTCCCGTCTACGGTGTACGGTGAGCCAGTGTTATACTCACTGCTGGGGATGCTACGTAATCCGATGGTCGTTGTGCTTGCTATTTCTTTGCATAGTGTGCTTTTCTTATATACCTGAAGCTGTCTTCTCCAGCAACCTTTTTAACATGTACCCCGACTCCACCTTTGTGTTTGCAGGGACATGGGTCAGCCTGCCGTGCCAGTGTTGCCTGCCTATCCCACATACAGCCCCCACTACATCATGTGGCTGCAGCAAATATATGCTCAGCACTACTACACGCACTAGTAAGTAACTACTTGCTGCGATTCATTGTAAAACAGGTCTCATTGTTCAAATGAATAGTGAACACTGCTCAGTTATATTAGTGGTCTTAAGAAAGCGGTCAATACCACATTCCTATGGTAGAGATAACAGAAAACTGTCCACATAAAGTGTTTCAATATTCATCACTCTTGAATTACACCATATTGCAAAATGCCAACTATTCGTAAAAAAAACAGGTAGTTATTTATCTAGAAAAGCCTCAGTCTCAAGAATCGTTTTCAGGAGAGTCATGCATTTATATGTTTGGCCGGTTTTATTCAGCCTATTTCATTTATGACTGTTTGGTATATAGGATGAAATTTGGTGCCTGCATTGGCATGTTTTGCCAATGCTATTCCATTCACATAAAGGCGAGATACCATTCAATGGTTCACACAGAAGGATTCACAAATCTTCATTCTGTACTTTCATCGCCTGACCAACTTGCAGTTCAGCTGCTTTTGGGGAATCTTGTATATCTACTAAATCCGCCAACACTTGATTGAAAGTGCTTTATAACCAACATAAACCGCCAAACCTGGCTGCTTTATTGACATGTACGGCCCTTTTTATCAGTACAGTACTGATTGATGTTCTCCCCATGCTGTGGGGGCTATTTGGCCATACTTCACCCTGGTCAATGAAGTTTAGTGAAAGTGGGGTGCAAATAATTTCCGAACATAGTACAGTACAACAATAGATAGTGCCGCATTGCCCTCGGCTAACAGGATGCCATCGCAGCAGCCTACAACGCCTCTTTTTCAAGTACATGCAGGTCACCCTGTCAAATACTTTCCAGGCTTAACTGTACTTAGTGTCCCCATATCTCACTATATGGGGTGTTTTCTGCCTCCATTGTTTACTCGCGTTCAGCCAAGCTGCAGTGAGCGCCGCTGCAGGAACGGCGCTCAATCCTGGCGTCATGCCGGCAGTTGGCGGTGCAACCCCCGGCCTTCCAAACCCGCTGGGCACAGGCAGCCTCCCCAACCCGCTGGGGGCCGCGGCAGCCGCTGGCGGCGGCGGCGGCGCAGGTGGCGTGGGTCGAGGCGGAGGGGGCGGAGGTGTGGACGGGGCGCCCGTCCCGGCCAACAGGGACATCGGCGTGGCGGCGGTGGCGGCCCGCAACGAGGGCGCCAGGCCCGCCAATCAGAATGCAGTGCTGATGAACGCGCAGGGGGGTGCCGGGCCGGAGGAGGAGGAGGAGATGAACCGTGACTGGCTCGACTGGCTGTTCACAGCGACACGCACCGCCGTGCTGCTCGGAATCTTCTACTTCTACTCATCGCTCGGCCGGTTCCTCATGGTGTCCGGGGCGCTGCTGCTGCTTTACCTGTGAGATTTCAGGCTGCTTTCCACTCTCCAGTTTCATCGTTCCATTTGGTGGACGGTGCCGCTGTACTCGAACTGTGACGTTGGACTGGGCCTTACTGTTTTGTCATGATTTTTTCGTGTAATTGTAATGTCACGTTCATTTTATTTCGATGATGTTGTTGCGACATCACTATAGCACTATCTCAATGCATCTTGTTGGTTCTTTCGGTAAAGTCACGTAGAAGGGAAATAATAAGATAATAAAAATAAAACAATAAAATTATCACGACGTTTCGGCCACAACACAAGCAGCCGTCTTCAGGTGAAGAAACAGAACTGTCGGGAAGACAGCGCTTCAATGAACACTGCTGAGCTTGGCAGCATCTTTTAAGCTGGGTGGGAGGAGCAGAGCGCCTTGACTAAGGAGTTTACATATCAACAGAAGAATTTAGCATTGAAGTAGCTAAGTTAATGTGATAGATTAGCAGGATGTTAAAGTGAGAAATTAGCATGTAACTGGGATATTATATTAAACATTACACTGAAAGGTACTAAGAGATTAACAGGATGTTAAAGTGAGAAATTAGCATGTAACTGGGAGATTAGCATGATGTTAATGTGAGGATTTAGCATGTCACGGAAGTGGCTATCTAAACTACACTGTATAATATCGTATACACAGCCCAATATAAGCTCTATAGTAGTCTAGTTTATAGCATAGTTGTAACGCAGCATAGGACAGAGTAGCGCACCATGGTTGTTTCTCTCCCCCCTCCTCCGTTCCGAGCATAGATGGACTTGTCCGTCTGAACGCTCGCCGCTTTCCGTGGTGCTAACGTTGAAATGAAACCGCTACTTTTTTCGACATAGAATTGTAATGTATAGTGACGTATTGCTAGTAGCTCAGCTGATTGGATAGGATATTGAGTTTATTGATAATATTGATGAAGTTTATATATTTTTTTGATCAGTTTACTATATGGTATTCATTATATAGTGTAGTGTATACCCAGTTACTTAATGTTAATAGCTCAACTTATTGGAGAATATATTGAGTACATTGATTATATTGATGTAGTTTATATTTAGTTCTTTCACATCGGTTTATTGTATGATAGGTGGGTAGTTGCAGTTCTTTAGCGTTAATATAATAAATGCCTCTGTTGATATGTAAACTCTGACTTTAACATAGCCACTTCCGTGACATGCTAATTTCTCACTTTAACATCCTGCTAATCTATCACATTAACTTAGCTACTTCAATGCTAAATTCTTCTGTTGATATGTAAACTCCTTTGTCAAGGCACTCTGTTCCTCCCACCCAGCTTAAAGATGCTGCCAAGCTTAGCAGTGTTCATTGGAACGCTGTCTTCCCAACAGTTCTGTTTTTTCACCTGAAGACGGCTGCTTGTGTTGTGGCCGAAATGTCGTCATAATTTTATTTTATTATAGTAAATTTTGTATTATTTTATTATTTCACTTCTACGTGACTTTACCGAAAGAACCAAGAAGATGAATCCATGCAGTCACGAAAGCTTTAAATAAAAATTTATATCAATGCACCCTACTAAATTAAAGTATATTTTTTTCATTAATGAAGCCTTAAATGTATGTCAGACAGCTGAGGATGCACAGCCTAGGTGTGTATTTGCATGACAAGAGTAATTTGTTTGGTTTCACCCTTCCATTAAGCCATCGAAGGCCATAACCTTCTAATTGGTATTGCATGATGGCCGGATGGATTGGAGATTTTAAAGTTACCAACATTACCGTGCTACAACTAAAGCAGCACAAGAATGTTGTTAGCGGATAATTGCAGATTAATAAACTCGCCAGAATGCTTACCACGAGTAATGAGTTGAGTAATGCATATGGAACAAATACATATCCATAAAAATGAACTAGTGGCTGGGCGTGGTACTAAGAGATTTGCTTTGGTCGCTGGTCCCCACAGGTACCAGACGGGCGTCTTCCCATTCCAGCGCGGTCCGGGTCAGGCACCTGATCAGCTCGGTGGGGATGGTGAGGAAGACCTGGCCCAAGAGCTACAGGAAATGGTGAGTGAGGGAGCTTGGAGGTGTTGGGGAATGACGTGACGAGATAAAGCCCACCCACAGGCCAAAGGGGTTGCCAGTAGGTTTATGAATGCCTATTTTCGTGGCGTTTGTGTGCTGTCTCAAAAGTTGTGCGGGTCTTCTCTGGGGTCTGTATTCTGCCCACGATGCTATAAAATACATCAACGTTAATGGGCCTAATATTAAAGCAGGACCCTAATGTAAAATAATATTGAAACGTAGTGGTTGCAGGGTAAACATGTCGTGACGTGGCCTTGCCAGGTTACCAACTGTTTTTGTTTACCTTTTCCAGTTCATACAAATATGCGCCTATTCGACTAATTTAAATTTACCATGGCAAGTTCTAGCCAACAGTTACAGCATATCTACAGATTCCCATTCTTTCTCCACAGTCCATCGGGCTTATTTGCTTTCAAGACGTGCTGGATAATATTGGTCTGGAAGCCAATAGGCCGATGTACTAACTTATACATGGATATACTAAACCGAGTTCTGCTTACGGGTGCTGCGGTGGTCCGATTTTAACTCCCTCGCCTGTTATACAATACAGGAGGTCGTGGGTTCGATCCCGGCCGTGACGCCTGCTGTATATGTGGAGTTTGCATGTTCCCCCGATGATCGCTTGAATTTTTATCCTGGTCCTCCGGTTTTTCCCACCACATTTATAATCATGTTTCGAGTATTTGGTTGCTTTACATTTCCACATGATAAGCCACTTATTTGAGCTATCATTTGTGGCCAGGTCGCTTCTAACAAAGAGCTCTATAGGTCAGTGGGCCTTACCTGGTAAAATAAATAATAGTTTATAGTTTCTGATGTGTACTCTAGGGTATATAGACCTCTGTCTATTTGAGAACACTCTCACACCAATGTGTTTTTCGTACACACAGGAGCGCCGCATGGACGAGGGGATGGACCTGGGGGACACGGAGAGCTCAGACGATGACAGTGCCTTGGAGGCAGACGAGCCCAGCTTCACCACTTCTGCCTGGACCTTTGTCACGACCTTCTTCACGTCCCTCGTGCCGGAAGGCGCAGCCGCCATGCCCAACTGAGACTGAATGGCTGCCATTCATCCCTCCGGCTTCGTCATGAACGTTTTTTTCTCAAGTGGTGGTTTTTTTTTGGTTGTGGAAACTTCAACGCCCGCTGCATTGTTAAGCTGGCTCCATCCCTCCTGCCATTGCATCTTCCTGAATCGAGCTGATTTTTTTCTTTTCTTCAAGTTGTTTGTGGGTTTTTTTTTATTAGCAGTGCAATTTGTTCAACAAATCATCTCCTGCTGTGATGGACTGACAGCCGTTTCTGCTGCTAATGCTTGTTTTAAAAGAAACTCTTATGTTCCCAACTCGTCTGCCGAAGGGAGCTTTCAGTCTGTGATGGAGACGGGCGTGCATTCACTGGTCTTGCACCACAGTGGGAGAGAATTTACCGGATGCCACTTCTTAAGAGTTCTGTTCACACAGATAGCGCACTTTGGACTTTACTGGAGCACCGCTGTGTTTTTGTTGCTTTCGTGATGTTTAGATGAGATAATTTTTTCTCCCCCCGTGACCCACGAAGAAAGCGTGGGGAAAATGACTCCCTCGCTTAAAGTGGTGCTATCAACAGAGGGCTGAAGAACCGTTATTTCAACAGGAACACCACAGCCCCTGTTAATGTAGTTATGTAGTTATACAGATACTTTCATATGCCAGACACCAGCAAGTGTGGTTAAAGGTTAAGGGTGACCGTTTTATTTGTAACGACATTTGTGCTGCTTCAGCATTCTTATGTCTTGTTCCATACATAAGATCCAGCCTCTGCCAAGTTTCATCTCGCGAACCCAGTTTTGCTATTGAAAGCGAGACCGGTGAATGTAAGATCGATGACATTACATTCCCCAGAGCAACTGCACATGAGCATTATTGATTTGTGCCAACCAAAGGTTGGTCTCATACCAGAGTAGAACAGCCCATATAATCTAACTACAAAACTTTAAACTCTTTCACCAACACTTATTGTAGCAGTTTCTACTTTGCCTTCCAACTTTGCTCTAAGGGAATCCAAATTTGTGAATATAGTTTCTTGTCTATGGTTTAAGTATATTTGTGGGGCTTTGATGCTGGCCAGAACACACGGATTCCTGCCAAGCCTTGTTGCACATCATATAAAGGTCTTTTTCCCATACTTAACCAACCTTTGCTCAAGAACCAGGATCAAACCCAGCAGTTTGGGTCACGGGGCGCTCGTGATCTCACTGACCAATCGTACGAATCGCGCACGAGTTGTGAATATCTCCTGACGTTAAAGCAAACACGGACGAGGTCAGCCACGGCATGGCTGCTGCACAAGGACAAATGGGAGCAGTGGTCTCGTGGTTGCACACGAACGACCGATGAAAGAAGGCACTTGTAATTGTTTCCATGTATCTACAGGTTACCAGCAGCACTGTGTATGGAGCAGATGAGCAAAGAACAGTACTGTATCAGTGACGTTTCAATGCACTCTACAATGACGGAAGACAGTGGCGCTGCAAAGAGCGAAGGGTTGCTGGGGTGGTTGTTTGATTTTTGCGTTCAGCGAGCCATCGCACAACGGCACAAAATAACTGAAAAAGGCAGCGACGAAAGGACAAGCAAGTTCTCCGATCTTCAACAAAAGACTTATGATATTGATTATATACTGTACGCATCTTATACATGTACCCGATTATATGTGTACCATCACAATTATTTTCTTGTCTAAATAGCTTTATAATGTAAAAATGTCTTTAATTAAAACAAATACTTCCTTGCACTTTGTCGAGTAATGTCTAAGACAGAGCTATATTTTGCAGTTATTACCGAACACCAGAGCAGCATTGTATAGGTCACTTGTATCGGCCCAAAACACACCACTTTTTTTCTTAACGAGGCTGGAAAGTTAGTGTGAAGGAGCAAGCTGCTCACTCTTGTTGGTTGTGAAGTACAGCAGTGCTCTTGCAAACACATTACTGGGTAAGACAACATTTTTCACCACGAGTGGGAATTCCCGTGGCTGACCACACCATGGCCAGGCATTTCGTGCATTGGTAACTGGGTTGAAGCAACTTGGATTTACATTGCAGCACCTGGTGCTTTGCATATGCCGACAGCGTGGCAATAAGATACCAGTAAAGCAACCGGTACTTAAATATGATATCGGGGGGCAACTCATGTTGGTTCATATGAGCAGCATTGGCTAGGTGTGTTCAGGTAGCCGTATATGTTGCCTCGTGGTCCCAGTGACTGGTACAGTCGTGTTGTGTGTTGCTGAGCCAATTCGGGAGACACGTGGCCATGTCGCTAGTTTGGAAGTGGCCAACACGTCGGCTTTGAGCAATAAAGTTTTATTTCCAACGTATTCTTGTCAATGTCAACCGTGAATGATTTGGTTTGTGATCCCGCTAGAGTTTGGCTATGCCTGACAAGGAGTACGTTATACTATGCACTCACATTGTAACAGCTGGTCCAAATGTACATTGGCGCTTAATATTGCTTCAATCAGGGTTTTTTTCTCGTAAAGTTTCTGTGGGCCACAATTGAATTGACATGTGGTGGTGGGCCAGATAACATGATTTGCCACCTCTGATTAGCAAGGTTGGCTGCGTACGGTGCGAAAGAAGTGCTATACATACGGGACTTAATATCCGTACATGTGACCAATAATGTGTACCTTGTATTTCCAGGTTTCTCATCTCGCATTCATCTCGTAATCATCTAATGTTTATCTCTTGTATACAGCTCTGGTGTTTCTCTTGTTTGTCTCTGTTTCATCTCACTAGTCGGTATATTTGCCTTGTCAACCCATATCTCGAAGTGCACCATGGCTCAGAGTGGTTTGCGATTCTCAGGCTGCTGGTTAAAGAATCCTGTCTTTGATAATTTAATTCCAAACTCTAGGAAATGTCAGCCCTGCGCTCGTCATTTAGGCCTCTTACAATTCCACGTTCGTGTTGTAGACAGTGCAGGTTGCTATACTTTATATTCCCTGCAAAGAGTGTTATCAAATGTTACTGAAAATATGTAGTTATCGGCTAGTATACTTCATCCAAATGAAGTAAAAACTAACAGAGTGGTTGTGTTTTTGTGCACTCATTAGTAACTGGGTTGAGGCAACTTTGTTACGCTTCAAAACTCAAATCAATCACGTGGCTGCCCGGATTCGAATAAAGGACATCGGGGGTGCGGACTGGAACCCCCAAGCTTCTGGCCCTGCTTAAAATAATGTTTAAAGTATTTAATTCATAACCGAGTTGAGACGGTAATGTTGCTGCACCACATGGGAACCCAGTTTAATCTTGGTTGAGTGAATATGAAAACCAGCATAGTTGTGTTGTGAACAATTCAATCCGTTACTGCCTTTGTAAAGTGTATTTAATTAATATTCCCTGCAGGGGTGACATCTGCTTCACACTAGCATTATTAGTAGCCCATGGCTTTCATGCATTTCTGAGTTAAGCTTGTGCTCATGTCTTTTGCAATCGTGTTTTTGGACTGAGCGATAACCTCGCACTTGAACCCAGAACTCCATGTGCCTCTGCTTTGTCCCTCAAATGCCCCGTGTTTGCTGTTTGCCTGACAGTGACCCAATAGAAAGCATTGGCCAGTCACTCCCAATAGCCCACCCCTTTCCTTCCCCGAATCCCCACTTGATTGTAATCGCTTTGCCACATCCACAATTGCCGTCGTATAAAATCAAATTTAACGTATCCCAACCGAATGGAGTAACGGGTAGCAAGGGGTTGGCGCTCGTCTTTATTGGTGACTGCTAATGGAGAAATTCCACGTTCCTCTGGTGGGGGGATATATCTTTAGTCTATGACCATACCACTAAGAATGTAACTGATTCTGTCAGATCTCAGAAGATGTTGAGCGTGACTGCTGGTTGCCCTACCTGCTTGGTAGGGCAACCAGCAGTCACGAACAAGTTGTCAAGAGGGCTTGTGAGGTGACGCTGTGGGCAGTGCACAAACATGAATCGGGCAATGTTTTCGCGTATTCTCCACGCCTTCGCCAACCTGCATTGACCATCACGTTGAAGTATGGTCAGATAACACACGACTCTCACGGGCGTGGGGGAGGTCCTCATCCAGCAGTGGATTGACAAAGGATGTACACGTGGGGTATAATCCATACATATAACCACCGCCGTTGGCTTTCCGCAAATAAGTCTGCACGCAAAAACGTAATTATATACAGCGCCATTCACACAAGGCCTCGCTAATCACTTTATATTGTTGCATTTTATTTCAAAGCGATTGCGCCCTGCACACTACCCCACAGCACTGCGCAACAAACCGCTTTGTCATTATCCATGCGAACATATTCCTCAAAATGTTGCATAAGTTGTGTTCATAAATATATAATCCCCGATTGTGGCGTACATATCGTCCCATGGGAATTACGAAACTTTGCGTTGCTCCCATATGTAATCTTTTATTTTGGCAATCACTCCATCAGTGGTCGCAGCACGTGATGTCTAGAAATATCAATCCCACGCTTCTCCCTTGCTGTAACGTCCCCCCCCCCTCACACACACACACAACTATAACCGCCCAGCCCTCTGGCCAGCACATACAAATCGCCCTCCCGCTCACAGCTCAGCTCATCTTGTCTCGTTGTCTCCCGGCTTGCTGGCTGCCGCCCCGTATCACCCCTCCTGCAAAAAGCCAAAATGGGTTTCTCCAGGCTCTGGGCCGTGCTCGCTGCGGTCTCCCTCTGCTGCTGCGCCGTGCCCTCGTTTGCATCATGCAAGGACGAGACGCGTCAAGACGAGTCGCCTGGCTTCGTGTTTCGAATGACGAAAGCCGCCACTAATTTTCGTGAGTGTCTGCGTCTGCGTGTGCGCGCGTGTCGGTGTCCGTGTAGCGGCGAGCGCGCTGCCCCACGAACCTGGCCACCCGAGTTTGACTCCCGCTCACGGCGCAAAAAAAAAACAGTGAGGATTATCTGGACCGGTCGTGGGCCTCCACGAGGTCGACTCGGCCTCAAACGAGTACCTGGTGCGACGTGTAAACATCGCCGCTAGGGAGACAAAGGCGACCGGGCGTGGTGCTGGCCACCCCATCCACCCGTGTGGCCGTGCCGGCCGTCATAGGTGCTCGCTCACAGCACTTGCCCCAACAGCCCGTTAAGGCTGTACGGGGCATCTTTGTCTTTGTAGGTGTGCGTTGTCTCGCGCGCTGTGCAGGTGAGGGTGTAACAACAACCCGTGGAACAACTTCGCCGCGTTCGTTAGGGGAATGTTAAGACTGGGAAAGTCAAAACTAACGTAAATTTGCGCTTTATTTTTGTTGTTGTACGTGCAGAGACAAACTCTTGGCCTCGATAGATATGCAACGCCTACACTGCGCACGAATTAGCTGGGCATGGCGAGGCTTCTGCTGCCCTCCGTGCAAATGTTTGCGGTGATGTGAACGGCAGAATTGTTGATCCGTGTTGATGAAGAGCCCCGGCTAAGTTACAACCTTCATGAATTGAGAGAGTATGAATGCAACAGAAATCTACGAAGAGTTGCGATTCTTTCATTGAGTAAAGTTTTAAATACATATATATGCACAGTTTGACGCGTAGGCTTTCGCGACCAAAATCACCCACAACAAAGGTTTATTTTTTGGGGTTAGATCGCGTAAATACAAATGTGTCGTTAAACCCGCCACCACCCGACACAGACAATTAATTGTAATTACTGGCAAAACGTCCGAACTCAGATTGTAAATGTTGTGGATTTACTCTCCAACACACCGGTGTGCTGTACTAGTAACGAATTGGCACGTTCTGTTTACGTGACAACCCTCACTAGTTGGCTGTGTCGGGTGGTGGCAGGTTTTAACGACACATTTATAATTGCGCGATCTAATACAAAAAAACTATTATGGATATATGTACATGGAAATAATGTTATTTTTTATTACAGTCTCCTAATAAACAGTTAACGGCTGACTCTCAAACGGGAAGTGCATATGTAATGAGGAAAGAGAATTGGACAATTAGTATTGCGAATGTTATAAGCTGAGGGTGCATTCAGTTCACTTAACTGCTTTTCCGGTTACATTTAGGCGGCTTAAAAAAAGTAGGGGAATAAAAAATGTTTTAGTGATGCTGCGTTGGCAGCGGTGCACAAGCTCAACTTCAAAAAACTCTTCAAGAACACTTTAGCCTGAAAAAGGAAAACATGCAGGGTGCTTAAATTTTTTTTAACACTTCTGAGAATTTGCAACAACGCCACAAGAAATGTGCCTCTGGGTTCTGGAGACCACCTGGAGAAGGTTCCAGGCGTGCATTGAAAATGATGTCGAAAGAGTGGAGACTCTTTGACTTTTTGAAGCTATTAACATACATTTGTTATCATGGTACAGTGTATTGTCCGTTCTTTTTCCATTCAAAACGATAGTTCCACGTAAGTGTTAACATTTTTTTGGAACAACAACCGCCATTCGCCACTAAGTGGCGGTGACGTCACCACTACGCTTGTGCCAGGCCATGTGGTCGTTGAGGCCACGTGAAGTGTCGAACGCCCGCTGGCACGAGGTCACGGGGCAGACCTAGATGCCAAGGGTCGACTGACTGAGATGACTGGCTGATGCACCACCTGTGCCCCCGACTGTGCCAACTTGCTGTGCTTTAGCCACCCGGCGCTCCGCTCGATGTTGTGAGCATAGGCTCCTTTGTTGCTGGAGGGCGATGACCTCCAACTGCCCAGTCGCAGCGTCCTTCACGAGCCTCCTCCACAGAGGCCGATCTTGACACCACTGGTACCAGTCATCGGCAAGTCTACTCAGCTCCACATCCTCCTGTACCACATCACTCCGTCTCTTCTCTAGCCCGTGCCACATCTATCAGCCTCCCATTGTATCTGTTCCAAATGAAAATTCCTCCGGTACAACGATTGAAGGCATCACGAACTACGTGGTCGAAATAGATATTAAATAATGTGGGAGCCAGAGGACATCCCTGTCGCACCCCAAGGTGTACAGGGAATGGCTCCAACGTGGTTTTACCATCATGAAGGTCCTTAATGATCGTGAGCAGATGGTCAGGGACTCCAAAAGCACGAAGAACAACCCAGAGCCCAGGCCTACTGATGGTATCATAGGCCTTGACCAGGTCAATCAAGCAGAGATGTAGGCGTTGTTGGAATTCCCTACACCTCTGTTGTAGCAGACGGACAGAAAATATGGCATCTGTGCAGGACCGCCCTTTCCTGAAACCGCATTAGGGCTCCCCAAGCCTCTCCTCAGAGTGCCTAGCAAGGCGATGTTGAATAATCCTTGCCAGGACCTTTCCCCGCACACTTGGGAGTGAGATGCCCCTGTAGTTGTTACAGTCTGTGCGGTCCCCCTTCTTAAAGAGAGGGACCACCAGGGCATCCTTCCAATCCTGCGGAACCCGTCCAGTGGTCCAGACTGGTGTTATGATGTCATGTAGGGCAGTCCATGCATAAACGCCACCCTCCCTCTGCATTTTGCTTGGGAGAGCATCTCTGCCCGATGCCTTTCCTGGTCTCAGACTCCGGATCGCCTTCAGTACTTTTTCAACAGATGGCACCTCAGGCAGCCACTCACAGGGGGTGACTTCTTCCAATATTTGAGGTACCGCAGCTTCAGCAGGGTCATCCCCACTTTTTCCCACGTTGTTTTCCAGGCTTAGGGACCCCTCCCCCAGGCCCTCACAGAAATGCTCAGCAAATCTGCAAACCTGTTCCTGGCGGGTCGGAGATTGGATCACCGTTCTTTCCCCTAATGATGGTAATAGGTATGGCGCTGCAGGGTGCTTTTTTGATGGAGTTCAAGAGCGATTTTTGATCGTGGGTCATTGAGGCAGACTCCATCTTCTCATCTCCTCAGCAACCCGCGACCACCACCCATCCTTGTAGCGCTTCACGGCTCTCCGAACCTCCGAGCGAAGGCTACGGTAAGCCTCCTCATTCTCCGACGTGGGATGCTGTAGCCGATGAGAGTGGGCCTGTCGCTTTTTCTTACCTCCTCTATCAGCCAGGGTCTCTGGGGAGGTCTGGACCGTGTACCTAAAGCATTCATTGCAGCTGCATGAGCCACAGTCCTAAATCTTGCCCATTTCCCCTCGACATCAGGAGGAGTGGGGGACGATGCCAACCCCAGCCGCAAGCGATGATAAAATTCTCGCTTGCAACTTTAATCAGCTAGCTTAGACCATGCTGCTATAGGTTTGTATGGGTCCTGGGTGTACACCCACCACCAGAGTGGAAGAATGGCAGGCGCATCTTACAGATGACAAGTCGATGGTCAGTCGGCAGATCAGCTCCACGGTAGATCCTGGTGTCAAGGACATAGGCCCGCATCCGCTGTTCCGTCACTATGTAGTCCAGCAGATGTTCTTGCTTAGACCCGGCATGCATCTATGATGTGTGGATGCGCCGATGCCGGAAAAGCGTGTTGGTAATTACAAGCCCATGGGCTGCACAAAAATCTAGCAGCCTCCTGTCGTTGTTATTGAGCTGATCTGGCCCATGCCTTCCAATCACTCCAGACCAGTTGCCAGCATCATGGCCAACTCGGGTATTGAAGTCACCCAACAAGATGACTCTATCCCGAGGGGCCACTTTAGCTAGCACCTGTGACAGGAGGTCATATAAGGCATCTGACTCATCAGCCTTGCCTGCATCCCTCCACGGATGTTCGTCTTCGGTGGGGGCATAAGTAACCACGACCACCACTCCTCACCTCTGGTTGATGGGAAGGCAAGCCCAAAGTAGCCTGGGGCTTACAGCTTCCCACACCTCACCGCCATGCTCCCACGCCCCCTTCATTATTTTGTTCAGAAGAAGAGCCACTCCCTGTTGTTTGGCAGTCTCCTGCCCCGAGTCGAGGACTGTCCACCCCTCATGGTGGCAGGAGCCAGAGCCGGTCCACCAAACCTCCTGAATACCACAGAGATCCAGGTGGTACCGGTCCAGCTCCCGACAGAGGAGTGGCAGCCTCTCCTCCGCAGTGAGCGTTCGAACACTCCACGTGGCCACCCGTAGTGTTTTTTGTTGTTTCTGGAGGAGCCCTGAGGGTAATGATTCAGTCTCCTGGCTCCACCTAATGGGGTTTGACCATGAGACGTCATAGATGCCTGTCCCCCTGGGGCCTCCGGCACAAGCTTATTAATAAATAAAAATTCAGCCGTGGTTTTGTGGTAATTTATTGAAGGTGGATGGGTTACCAGTTTCTCGTACCCGTCCAGAACCCCCATTTGGCCGCTGTGGTGGTTACAAACGCCATGAGGGGAATGGCCAATCTAAATAGTCCCTCCCCCCATGGCACTGCCCACCACAGCATTGCCGTCCAACACCAACGAGGAGGTAGAGGGTTGTGTTTTGCTATGAAAAAGGGCCATTGCCGAAAAAGTCACCACCGGGCTATTCTTTAGACACTTTTATTGAACTTGCCATGTTGTCTGTTTAAATTCTACGAAGCCTAACGAGTTTAACTTTTGTACGCACAGATTCGTAGTCGTCTCGCGTGACAATTAAACATTTCATTTAAAGAACCGATGCAGGTCCCTCCGATCCTGCACCTTTTCGCGTGTTATACTTCCATTTTCATTGTACTATTTAATTTGTATTAGAATTATCCAGACAATAATGAACTATTGTTATTGTCTGGATAGAGATCTTAGAATGAATATGTACATATATAAATTATTTTTACAAGGTTAACATAAACGTTGGGAAAAATCGAGTTTTTCAATGCACACCCTTTCATTTTCACGCAAAAGTAGAAAATACATTATTTTGACCACATCATTAATACAAATTTGATGTGCTGAATATAAGTAGATGGTTTCCATGCAATATGTTTAATTTTCTTCATGCATGCTACCCACTTTTATTGAGCACATCAAATTTGATTATTTCTGGGGCCAAAATAATATATTTTCCACTTTGGAGTGCAAATGAAAGTGTGTGCATTGAAAAAACATTATTTTTTACCCTAATATTTTTGTTTTCCTTCAAGGCAGTGTTATTGGCGAACGTGCTGCGTGTTTATAGCACAGTTCAAGACAACCAGACAGCTTAAAACATTTTTTTTTGCAATCGCCTTCGTCAAAACTTTAACCGTGACAGCAGCACCCTTAAAAACGACGCCAGATTGGGTCATCAAAGGATCGACGTTGTGCCACGCGACGATTCCCCTTACTGAGGAAAGCCCCGTCGTGGGTTCTTCTCTCTTTGCTCCTCTGCACAGTGAATCAGGAGAGCATCGAGGTGATCCAAGCGGTCCTCAAGAACACCACGTTCCCCAGCGTGCAAGACAACTCTCCTATTCCCTTCATCGGCACCGTCTACTACTCCCTCACCGAGTGAGTGTGCCCACCCTCCGGAACAACCGGCGTGGAGAGGCGTTTTTGTTGTTGTTGTTGGCATCGGTTTCATTTTTGCTTGATAACTCGCAGAGAACTCGTTCCAAATGAACAATAACAGACGGCTAGCATTTTCCCTGCCATGCCCGCCTCGTACGATCAATGTCCTCCTACGCTGCTGTTCGCCATCGTCCAATACACTCTCCTTCTCTAATCACCTGTGGATTGTTTTGCCCGTGGCCAGCTCAGTCCAACTCTACTCCATTCAATATTAACCTTTGCCTTGTTCTAACCCTGCTCCTCCGCGCATGGCCCCACGTCATCCCTTCCTGCGTTGCACTGCCGCTCGTTGGCCTGCTGCGCCAGTTATCTCAAGCTCTTAACCTGCCCTTGGCATCATCGTCCTTTATACCACAACAACCATGCAAGTACACCTTGAGTCGCCAGAGCGAAGGGATGTCTGTAAAACCACTACACAGGAAAGGGATTGCGCCCCCCCACCCCCCCCGCCACCTTCCCCCCTGAGTGGGTGCTACCCATAGGTTGTGACGCCCTGCAATATACACGGCACACGAGAGAGCAAGATTTGAAACAATATATAGGGTGTCCTCATAGACAGCCACGACCAAGCAAATGAAAACGCAAACAGAAAAAAAAGCGAAATTTAAAAAAAAAAACGATTAAACCAAACAAGAAATGGCTCAAACAACAAATTAGTCCATTAGGTCTACACATCGCAGACCACAGAACCTACTTGCCAACCAAGCCAGGAAACCTTCACAGGAGGCAGCGGTGGAGTGCCAAAAAGTTAGCACTCATTTATGTCAATCGGTCCGACGTGACCATGGGTCCGCATGACTTTCACAGGAGGAGAAGAGCCATTTCCTTTGTTTTTGTCTTTCACCCGAATAGTTTCGAGAGCCGCATCATGCGCAGAGCTACTTGAACACACACACAGCAGCAGCAGATAACACAGCAGGTGACAAACACATTCTCACTTAAATAAACAAAATAGGTGATGAAATGAATTGCGTCCATTTAGCTTAACCCCCCCCCAGCCACCCTTGCTAGTTCTTTAACAATAGAGTTTGACTGTTGTACATTGTGTTGTCACCAAGATATTCCATAGTGACCCATTCCCTGCCATATTAAATCAATTAACTTTACGTTCACTTATATAAAAGTTGAAAGTTTTTGGTTTTGTTTTAAACAGCTGCCCGCAATGCGGGGTTAGCCAAAGAGCCGCAGGGCGGCTCCGGAGCCGCAGGCTGCCAACTCCTGAAGGTGACCAACTGCGGTGGGTGGGGACTCTCCGTGCCTTCTGCCCTCCTCTCCCCTGTGCTTGCAGTCTCCGCATCACCAACACCGCGGTGGCAAAGAGCGAGATCGTGCTGCTGGAAGGCTACGGGTTGTCGTTCCACGGCAAGGACATCGAGATCGTGGTGCAGGGGAAAGTCTCCTACGAGTACCGCTCCTGGCTGTGAGTTCATTTTGTTATTTTAGCGAATTTTTCAAGGGTTGCTCATTGGTGATGTTCTAAGTGATACGCATACCGTGTCAACCCATACGCTTTACCCGTATTCTTGTACAGAGAAATTGAGTTTTCAGGCCCATACGGCGTACGGCCGTTTCAACACGGGTAAAACAAGGCTTTTGTCTATTTGTTTGTGTTTCTCCTTTGTGATGGGACTTTGTAGGATGAACTTTGAGATTTATAAGCGGCACGGGGTGACCAATAAGGTGTGAATTGGTCTGTAATAAGGTAGGGCACTGAGTGGGGGTTGTCAACTGTGCAGTTGTAGCTCGTCGGATACCTCCAGTCTAAATAAAGAGTCTGATCGTTTAGTTCCACTTCAGCCACACCAGGGAGGGAGGATCCTATTGAGGTTCCCGCACCTCCGATTAGCAAGGTTGGCTACGTACGGTGCGAAAGAAGAACACGCAAATATACAAACAAAATCTCTTTTGCGAGGCGGGTATGGATATGCCTCGACGGGTAACGACGGCTGCATACGCTGTGTGTTGTTTCAGAACTTCGTACGTGTCGAATAGGACCATACTGTTCACCGTCTATACCAAAACATCGCTCAACATCACCTCCCGCGTCTGTGAGTACTTGGTGGCCTGCGGTATTTCAAACAACATGCAAGAAAAAAACGTATTTTTATAAGCACTCGGCCTCTGTATATTATGCAAAAACCGTCAGCAGTTTCCTGAAGAAGTGCATTGTGGCCCTGTTGTCGTAGGTCATCGAAACAAAAAATTGAGCGAATTGACGGGCAGGGGTGACGCAGTGATGGACAAATGTGGACCGGTTTCGTTGTTGTTGGGACTCATCAGGACTGACCAGTCACCGATTCTCGCTGCTGCCAAGTTTGCTTTTGGGAACCGTGCATTTGGAGTCCCCACTTTCACTCCGTGGGGTCCATTGGCTTGGCTAATGCCAACATCAATAAAATATATAGCTAGAAAACCCCATGACAACAGAATAATAGTACAGGCCCCACGTTTAAAAAAAGCACCCAGCTTTTTTTTTACGCTACACAACGACATATATAGTACAACACACCCATGTAGTCTAATACACCGTATAATAATAGTGCAACAGCCACGTAGCAATGACTGCGCAATAATTATCATTGTGTAGAGTTTGTTGTCCTTCCCCCGCACCTCCGATTAGCACGGTTGGTTACGTACGGTGTGAAAGAAGTTCAGCATACATACGTGCATTCATCACCTTCTACTGCGAACACTTGGCAGGACCCTCCTGATAACGAGCCAAGGGCTCTCTTTGAGGCTTTCCTGGGTAATCAAGTGTAGTTATAATACATGACGACATTCACGTGTTAAGAATTATTGATTCAGCTGTAGGTTCAGGGGTTTTTGGTGGTGGAGTGCGAACCTCTTTCTTCCTGCAATTAGAAATTAAATCACGATCTAGTGAATTGTATAAATCACAAACTGAAAAAGGTCTAAATACTCAAATTGTTGTTTATACCAATGGGGAGGGGGGGGGAGGCAATGCCCTTCTACGTAATATAGGTTGTTCATTAAAACTGGTGCTTTGCGAACTTTAAAAATTATAATTATCCAGGCAAATATATTGTGCCGTCTTTACGTTACTTATGGGAAAATGCTACACGACCCATGTCTGGCTCATGTGAGCAATGACTACACACAGCTACAGGCTTCATGCTCAAGACGAGGTGGCGCTACTGCTTTCTCTCTCAAGACTACAAAGAACTCACTCAACTCGTTCGTTGATCACACTGTGGCCGTAAAAAAGGAAAATGTGTTTTCGGCGACGTTTTCGTGCAATGCCCCTTCTGCATAGCACATCCATACAATGATCGTCTATAAACGTGTCTTGATGTGATCTGCAATGTAAAACTAATAATTATTAACCCCCCACTTCGCACAAGAAAGAAGAGCAGACAGGTGTTGTCATCACATATGCGCCTCCTCTAATCAAGGAACAAAACAGGAGGACTTCTCCACTAATCTGGCTGCCGCCTGATGAAGCTAGTTGTAATTACTGGCGAAACGTCGTACTCAGATTGTAAATGGTGTGGATTTACTCTCCAACACACCGGTGTTGCTGTACTAGTGACGAATTGGCCACGTTCTCTTTACGTGACAACCCTTACTAATTGGCCGTGTCGGGTGGTGGTGGGTTTAACGACACATTTGTATATTTTACGCGATCTAACCCAAAAAGCACCTGTATTATGAAAGCTAAATAATGTTACATCAACCCACGTCAACGCTCTTAAATGCTCGCCGCCTCTTGCCCGATTTGCCCGCCCATCGACGGGAATGGTTTTCGCTCTCGCCTCACACCCCCCCCCCCCCCAGCTTCCTCCAATGGGACGTTCTTGATCGAACCGCCCTCGTGCCATCTGCACATCGACGATCTGCAGTTACGCCTCGCCAAAAACGAAAAGTGAGTGTGCTCCCCGTTGCGCGCCAGCGATTCCCGCCGTCCGTAGCTACTGCGTTGTCCTTTTCTACTTCATTATTTATTTATTTGCTGCCAGGTGTAAGGCCCACTGGGCAACACAGCTTTTTTTTTCTAGAAGCGACCTGGCCACAAATGATAGCTCAACGGATTGGCTTAACACGTGGAAACTTGTTGCAGCCAAATACTCCAAACGCACGTTGTTTCTAACTGTGGAGGGAAAAACCGGAGGACCCGGAGAAAAGTCCACGCGGCTACTGGGAGAGAGACACCGCAAACACTAAATATACAGCAACAGGCGTAAGGGTCTGGATCGAACCCACGACCTCATGTATACCGGGCGAGGTAGTTAACATCTCACCGCATGGCGTGGGGGTGCCTTCCCCAGAGAGGTGGGTTGTCAAAGGGCTGCAGGGCTACGGTGACATTACTGGATCTGGCGGTGATGCCGGGACGCTGCCGTAGTTGGTCCCCAGCCGTCTCACCGTGGCGGGCGACACTCACGTTGTCCGTTGTTGCCGTGTCCCTGCAGCCTCGGCATCCAGTTCCTGGGGGACATGTTGACCATCCCCATCCGCCAGCTGCTCCGCATCCAGGTGATTCTTGCACTCACCTGGTGCCTCCTTTCATCGTCTTCATCATCATTGTCATCAGCGTGACCATAATAATCAAAGTAATTGTCATCATCAGCAGCATCATAATCGTCGTCGTCGCCATCATCATTGTCATTTTCATCGTCATGATGATGACAATATTGTCATCACCATGAGGATGATTATCATGACAGTAAGTATCCTCATTGTCATCATCAGCAATATCATCAACAGTAGTAAGAGCAGAAGTAGCATTCTGATTATCATAATCGGCAACAGTGGCATTATAATTGTCATCCACAACCTAATCATATCTTATATTTATGTAGCGCCATTATCCAAGGAGCTTTACAAGGGTTATGGGTGGTACAATGAGGGTAGCTAAAAGTGATATCGTGAATCGGGATCGGGTATGGGGAGGTAGGTTAGTGAGTACGGGAATTACAGCGTAACCTAGGGATGGAGGGAAGGATGGGCCAGGGAGAAGAGGTGGGTGTCTTGAGGGGGGGAGGGGGGGGGCAGAAACTCGACAGGGAGGAGGGTGCTTCTCGCTTAATGTGGAGGGGAAGTTTGTTCCAGTGCAAGGGGGCAAGTAGGGAAAATGAGTGGAAATGGGATCGTGCGCAAGGAGAGGGGGTGGAACGGTTCGGAGTAGGAGAGACCAGCAACACTTTCCGTGCACACGTGGTCACGAAAGTATGACATTCACCGCAATGACACTTTGTCATCCGTTTAATGTCTGTGGACATGCTTTTTGTTTCACTAGGTTTGCAGTGAACTTCGAAATGTCGGCAAAGAGCTCTCTTTTCGGTTGCAAGAGCAAACAGGTAAAAAAAAAAGGATATTGTTACAGTGGCAGAAAACACTACATTTGTACCTGCACAGCCTTATTTGTAAATCCACTGCTGGATGAGGGCCTCCCCACGCCTGCGCAGCTTGAGGAGTCCCTCAATCAGCGGTGTATTGACCGTGTACTGAGCGATATAGTCTGTTAAGGACTGATCAAAAACAACATCTGGCCGAGTGGCGATGTGCATAGAATGTCCATGCAGGGGCCAACTCAGCCCATCATCTCTACAGGGTTAATAAAATAATACCACTATGAAAAGTCAATAGACGACTTCCTATGAGAAGAAAATAACTGGTCCTTGACATGGTAATAAGTAATTTCCAGCACTGGTAATAATACCGCACCCAGCACACCACATCCGGGCACCATGGTGGCGAGATGTTAACTACCTCGCCTAGTATGCAGGATGTCGTGGGATCGATCCCAACACTAACGCCTGCCGTATATTTGGAGTTTGCATGTTCTCCCATGGTTCGCGTGAGGATTTTTCTCCGGGTCCTCCGGTTTTTCCCTTCACATTTAGAAACATGCCTTTCGAGTATTTGGCTGGAATAAGTTTCCACGTGTCAAGCCAATTCGTTGAGCTATCATTTGTGATGGCCAGGTCGCTTCTGAAAAAGAGTGGGCCTTACCTGGTAAAACAAAAAAAAGTTAAGTTTATCGTTTTTTTTATCCAGTATACCTTTCACTATGCATGTGGGCACTAATCACGTTGCCTACTCCAACCTGCCGGTGAACTTGGGCAGTATTAAAGTGAGAATTCGAGCCCTGTCCACAGTAATGAATCTGGTTTTGTGGCACGAACAAAAACTCTTCCGGGAACCGCTTGCACCACCCCCCCCCCTCCCCCCCCGTTGTCTCGCGTCACAGACAAACTGACCCTGGACGACAGGAACGCGCTGGACGTGTCGCTCTTATCATGTCCCCTCATAACGAAGGACTACATCGAGACGCGGCACAAGGTACAGGGGAGGCCGATCGACCGACCGGTGGCGCTGAGCGCAACTCGAGCGGTGGCCGGCGGTTAAAGGCGCCGGCGGAGCGGTACCTTGCGCTGCCGTTGCCGACCGCTCTAGTGGCGGGTTGGCTGCGTCTCTTCTGCTAGTTTCACGCGGCACTGTGGGGAGTGATTTGCGTGGATTCCATATCGTCTCGTCTCTGCTGCCCATATCGAGAATGGCTCCACCTTATCAGGGCATCTCCACCTACAGAACAAAAAGGACATCTTTCTCACCAGCATCGTCCATACAACTGCCTTAACGGAAGCACAAACAACAGACCTGTGTCCTATTCAGAGCAGATACACAGAGCACTCAGCAATGATGTGATTAATGCTTAGGTGCTGGAAGTTTGTTCACAACGTAGTGCCTTGGAAACACTGGGATACGTGTAGATAGTTGGCACCATTGCACATGATCTGACTGGGCTGTGTTGTGGTTGGAATGCTTGATGCGTAATTGAAAGATTGCAAATCAGGTTGGCAGTGGACTCAGTCCACTATCTCTCCAGGGGTGATAAGATGAGCACCACTTTTTGAAAAATCAATATTTGGCCAAATTGACCTTCACCATAGCAATGTGGAATTTCCACCATTTATCTAGGGCTGCCCTGTTATTCGTTTTTATTAACTTTCACTTTGTTGATGATGATGAAGATGATAAGACGAATGATTACATAACCCTTAAACAGACTGCTGGACAAAGGCCTCCTCGTGGCACGCGGGTCTCGGGGGTAGTTTGACCACACTTCACTACACTGGCCATTGCTGACGTTGCCGTGGCCAGGAGTGAATCGAAACCACTTCGCAACCTCTCCCTCTTCCGCCCGCTGGCATTGCAATGCTATCATCAGTTCATCCGATCTTCCACACACAGCAAGCCCTATCTCCATCCAATCCTCCACATGCAGCAGGCCTTATCTCCATCCAATCTTCCACACGCAGGAGGCCCTATCTGTATCCAGTCATCCACACGCAGCAGGTCCTATCTTCGTCCGATCCTCCACACGAAGCAAGCCCTATCTCCATCCGATCCTCCACACACAGGAGGCCCTATCTCCATCTGATCCTCCACACACAGGAGGCCCTATCTCTATCCAGTCATCCACACGCAGCAGGTCCTATCTCCATCCGATCCTCCACACGAAGCAAGCCCTATCTCCATCCGATCCTCCACACACAGCAGGCCCTATCTCCATCAGATCCTCCACACGCAGGAGGCCCTATATCCATCAGATCCTCCACACACATCAGGCCCTATCCCCACAGCGGTTCATCATGGAGATTTGACAAAGGCCGGTGGTTCTCTGACGGTGGTTGCACCGCTGGTGCCATGCGTTACGGGCGCAGGGCTGGATGATCCACAGAGGCGAGGTTCTGGGGCGGAACGGCAGCAGCCTGTGGGCGCCGCTCGACTCGGTGCCCACGGAGCGCATGATGGGCATGCGCATCGCCGACAGCGTCCTCGAGTCTCTGGCTCACGCGTTCTTCCAGGAGAACCTCCTCAAGAACTTCACCTGGGACGACGTGGAGGTGCGCGTGTGCTGTGAGCGCATGCTCTGTGCGTGTCTGGGAAGTTGGGTGAGGCTGAGGAGCACAGCCAGGCCCGGACCTGCCATAGGGCAAATGCCTGGTGGGCCGGTCCATTCCGAGAGCCGGTGGGCCGGTCTGTGTGGAGAAATTGCAAATGTGATCAGAGTAAAAAAATATATATCTATTTTATCACCTCAAATGTGTATGCTTCATTTCTAATTTAGGCTCTCTGTTGCCATGACATCCCCATATTCGGAAGTTCCAAAAGATTCTTCCTCACCGGCCCATTTGTTTTTTGGACCCAGCCCAAATTGGCCCAATGAGATCGCACGGCAATTTGGGCCACTGTGTTTACAAATGCCTGGGCCGACTTTTTTGCCCCAGTCCATTACTGACTATAGCTGCTACCGCGTGACAGAGAGTGTCGAGAGTTGCTGCGCCACACACCTGATCACCTGGGTTTGGTTCCCAGCCGCGGGTTATATCAGCGGCGGTGAATATCTGAACCGGTTTTGGGCCACCGCTAGGTTCACTCGGCCTTCGATGAGTACCTGATGGAGTGCGTAAACATTATCGTTCGGGAGATGAAGGCGAAAGGACCTGGTGTGCCTGCTAACAGCACCTTTCCACAACAGTATGGTTAAAGGCTGTACGGGGGATCTTTGTCTTTGCTACATTACCCCAGCGACCCAGGTTCTATTCCTGGCCATGAAACACATCATCAGTGGCAAGTGGTGTCTGACCTTGTCCTGGGCCTATACTAGGTTGACTCAGCCATACATAATTAACTGGTGTGTTGTGTGTGTGTGAACACAGGCCCAACCGTGTAATCTGCTGTGCTGCCCTAAATAGGTGCTCGCTAACAGCGCTCGCTGGGCGTTAGTCGACAGTTTGGTATCCGATGGGTCCATCCATCTGCGCGGGGATATTACTGGGGGTGGCTTTGTTACGGTAAACTATATTTAAATTCAGACTTAATTAAAGCGTTAACTGTAAGTGGATTTGTGTAGATTTGCGTGTGATTGTTCGCTTAGGCAAATATCAGTAAGGCTGCGAATGCGTGTTTATTTATGGTTGCAATTGTTTATTACCATGATATATAAAATATGTCAATGTATAAATGTCAGTACAGTGTAACTAAATAAATACCTACGGTGTAATTGCCATTGGCCAAGCATCCGAATGCTGAAAATGAACCTTCAAATTAAAGAACTCAATTGAGATTTACACACAGCAGCAAAATCGGTTCCTTACTGCGAAAAAACTTGACAGGTCCCTCCTGAAATTAGAGTTGAGACTCAGTGAGACTTTCCCGGGTAAACAGGCGTAGTGATAATAATAATGTATCCGTATTATATGTAAAGATGCCAAATTGCACGAACGCTTCACACACCGCTGTGAATTTATATTGTTGCAGGAGGTCTTTGGTTCAACATCAGATACGACTGGATTTTTGGAGTTCTGCAAAAAGGTAATGTGTTACACACATAACAAATAATTAAGTATACTCTGCGTGTATGTATGTACGTGTAAGGGATGTATGTATGTGTGGGGAGTGGTAGTGTAGCGTTGAGTGCAACGGTTAGCACGCTGCGCTACAAACCCGGCGACCCGAGTTCGATTCCTGCTCATGGCCACCAACACCAGTGACGATTATTTTAACCGGTCCTGGGCCTCCCCTAGGTCGATTCAGCCTCAAATGAGTATCTGGTGTAGTGCTTGATTCCTGGCCACGGATGGCATCAGCGGCGACTGATTTCCAATATGGTGCTGGTCCCGGATCTTTGCATATTGCTGTTTGTGCAATATAACCACCCCAGCCATTCTACAATCATGAACGAATGACCATTACCTTTGGCGCCTGTGTGCAATATAACCACCCCAGCCAGAATATGCACTATCTCATCAGACATTGAAGGCTAAGCAGGATCGAGCCTGGACAGCGCTTTGCTAGGCAGCCACCGTATACGTGTTAAGATAAAATCGGTGTACTGGGCTGCCGCAAGGTTACGTTGTGGACAACAGAGGGCAGTGCAGCAAGATCCATTGTCGTACTGCACTATTCTCCCACGTCTATACTCCCCCATGTTAAACTCAACCCCCTGAGCAGCATGGCGAAGTCTGGTGAAACAACCCACACGAATCGGACGCTCGTGTGTGGAGGCTCTCATCCAGCAGTGGATTGACGAAGCACGGCACGCACGTGCAGCCATTCTCTCCGTGTGGTGACTTTGGCTCGGTTGTGCATTGCGGACGCGTCCGCGTCCTCCTGGGGCAGGTGCTGGTCCGAACAGGAGGGAAGGACAGTCTGGAGCAGACCCTGCTCATTGTGAGTAGCCCCCGGCCGCCCAAGCTGTCGTGCGAGCCGTCGGGCATCCACCTGTCCAGCACCATCAAGGTGGACGTCACCCAGGACGGGGGGCCCGTCCTGTTCAGCATACAGCTGGTGAGGGTGCTGCGATGGCAAGATGTTGACCGCCTCGCCTGGTATGCAGGAGGCCGTGGGGATCGATCCCTACCCTGATGCCTGCTGCTGTATATTTGGAGTTTGCATGTCCTCCCCGTGGTCGCGTGGATTTTGCTCCTGGTCCTTAGTTTTTCCCCTCCACATTTGGAATCAAGGTACGTTTAAGGGTATTTGGCTACTAAAGGTATGTATGCGTATGTACTTTGAACGTCTTTAGCACCGTGTATAGCCAACCGTGCAAATCGGAGGTGCGGCTCGTGCCGGGGAAGAGGAATCCGCCGCGTCGCTCGTGGGCAGGGCTCTGCGTGCCTCGACCGGTGCACAAGTTGATCTGACGGACGGAGTCATTGAGAGAAAAAGAGAGAGAAAGAGAGACACTTGGTCACCTCCGATTAGCACGGTTGGCTATGGTGTGAAAAAGGTTCAGCGTGCATACGTACGTACATGATCGATGGTGGTGAATTTGGTGATGAGAACAATTGACCGGCGTGGTTCAGTTTAGTTAATGAACCAAATTGCGACCGACAAGGCATGGAGGAGACATCTCCATGTAGCAGTGGCTGTAGATAGACAATGATTATGATAACAGTGATAACTGATGATAACTGATGATGATGGTGATAATGAGAATGATGATGAGTAAGATGATGATGGTGATAATGGGGATGATGTTGAAAATTATAATTTAAAAAATGATGATGGTAATGGTATCAATAACGATGCTCATCATATAGTATACTTTATTTTGCCATAAAGTCTCTTATGCAAGGGTGACCTTTTACAAAGATGATGATGGTGGTGGTGATGGCAGAGATTGTAACAGATGGTGACATTGATGGATGGATAGCAATGTTGATAATAATCATCAATTATAATTGAAGTGGTGACATTGACGATGATAGCATTGGGATGATGACAATGATTATGTTAATGGAAATGACAGTTACTTTCCTAGTGCTGTACCATTCATCGCAACGTTTGAATCCAGCGGCAATTGTTCGCGAGTTCTCTCCGTCGACGGTTCATTTTTCTCCGTCCTAGTTCATCAAGACGATCTCCTCTGCGCACGCCATCACCGAGGGTAGGAGTATCAACGGAACCGTGGACACGTAGGTGGCGCACGGACGCTCTCCCCCCCCCCCCCCCCCCCCTGCTAAGTGCACAGTCGCTGCACGCGTGGCTGGTCCCCCTACCAGCTCGCCGGCGTGCCCTCGAGACGTACCAAATTACACGCACACGCGCTCGTATAGTGAGCACGTGGCCTGTGTGCATTGAACGCGCACAGACACCACCCGTCGTGCATTGCGGCCCGCTTGGTCTTAGATGAACGTTTGAACACTTTGTGAGCGACCGACAGCAGCAGTGGTGGTGAAGTATGACGAGGGCACCACGATGCACTTCTTCGGCAGATGCTGACGGGTAATTTGTTTTCTCTTGCACAATGCGCATAGGCAGCGTGCTTTTTAAGAGAGTTTTGCATCTTTTTTTTTTAACCTTGCACGGCTTTCCAGCTGGCACTGTTATATTGTTACGCTGGTTTTTGTTGTTGTTGTTGTTGAACCCAACACAGTCGTCAATAACACTGTGCGTGGCCTTTAAAAGTATAACATCGGCAACGTTTCGGGCAATGGTGCTTCCTCCACAGCGCATCGAGAAGGCCGATGACGTTTGTTTCCCGCGGACAATAGGCAAGTCCAGCAGATGGCGTGGGGCATTCGCGCTCCCCTTTACATCGCCACGTGTCTTGGATGAGCACCCTTCCCTCGAGCGTTTAAGCGTCAGTGTACTCAAAACACGTCAGACGCAACACGCAGCGTCCGCTGACAGTTGCGACGGTGGCGAATCGTGTGATGAAAGTTGAAATCTCACCGTACGCACACGACCGCACGCGCCTGCATGCGTGCGGTCGTGTGAACGTGAACGTATTGGCTGCACGTGTGATGAGCCACGTACGGCAACAGTGCATGCCCGTCACCAATTGGATTTGGAAGTGGGGTCGTTGGATCACATATCTGAAGGCGAATTCATGACAGAATCAGTCGGGAAGAACACGGTTGTTAAACGATAATCGGTAGCTGGTTTTAGAATAGATTACCGATTCAGAAAGTCAGGAGTTCGTTCGATCCCAGACCCTGTTGATGCCTGTAGTATAATCGGAGTCCACGTGATATCTCTCTCCCCATGGTGGTCGCGTGGATTTTTCTTCCGGGTGCTCCGGTTTTGCCCCACTCCACATGATAAAACAAAAAAAACACGCGTTTAAATTATTTGTCTGCGACTACAAATTCCCACGGGCCGATAATCATATAAGCCACTATCGTGTGGCCGGGTCGCCTCTGAAAAATAGCCCATAGCTCAGTGGGCTCTACCTGGTAAACGAAAGAGTTCAGTTTCGTTAACGCGGCACGCGTGCAGCATTACGCAGAAGCAGATATCGTGTTTTATTTTTCCAAGCGGCGGACGCTGATCCACAGTGAGGCGCGTGCTGCGTGTGTCTTCCATTCTGCAGGTTCCGGGTCAAGAGCGTGGACACGAGCATCCTGACGCCCGAGGTGCGCCGATGAGATCCCTCTGCCCTTTTGACCTCTGAAAGAACCCGCGGAGGCATTCCAGAGCACCGCTTGAGACAGCCACCAATTTTAGCACGAACACCGGCAAGCGATGACGGGGTGTCCCGTTCGAATACAACGCGGAGGGTCTCAGTGTGTCCGCGTCCCGCTGCGCTGTACAAATACGGGGGAGACGTGCACGTCTAGAGGGGTTGCAGAAGATTTGTTTGAGTTGTTTGAGCTGGGGAGAGAAGGAAGTAGGAAAGTCTTTAGGTCGGAGAGAGAGAGGAAGTCGAGATGCATAGGTTAGAGATAATACAGTCATAAGCGGATATTAGTGGATTTACCAGGTGTAAGTGTTGTTGATTGTTGAATCTAGACAGATCAAGACATGAATCAGTCACTGACCGGGACTTTCCCATTGCGAGCGGCACACACTAACCCCAGCGCCACCCGGCTGGATTGTTGATTAATAACATAACGGTAGCCTGTTATGTATTCAGTACTGTTATAAGACAGCGTTGATGATGCATTTGGTGGTGGTGGTGATGATGATTATTATTATTTGTGCTTGTGTACCGCTGCCAACGCAGTTCGTTAATATTTTCGCTAAAAAAATAATGATCTAATGTCACCGGTCGTCGTTGGCCTTCATCGAAAGTGACTAGAAACAACGGGAGCATTTCTCTCTTGGCTGAGAAATCCATAAGTTCCTGTAAAAATATATCGGTGGTTGTGTCGAAAAACCGTGCCTCGGTTCCGTCCGTGATGGAACACTGTTCTCGTGTCTGAGCGCAGGAGCTGGCCACTTTCCCAAAACTTTTGAGGAATTACGTGAAGACCGTAGCGCAGGAGGTCGTGTTGGAGCGTAGGTCGTGCTGCCACCACCATGGCCACCACTAGCAGCACCATCATCATCATTGTCATCGTCGTCATCATCATTGTCGTCGTCATTGTCATCGTCATCATCATTGTCATCGTCGTCATCATCATTGTCGTCGTCGTCATTGTCATCGTAATCATCATCATCATCGTCATCATCATTGTCAACATCGTCGTCATCATCTTCGTCATTGTTGTCATCGTTGTCATCATCATTGCCATAATCCACAACAACACCATGGGCACCAAAAGGGTTTTGAAGTATTGGAGCAAAATTCCAATTGAGACCTCCCTCTGAGGCTCCCTCAGCCCTTAATGAGGCCCCCAACTGCCCCCCCCCCCTCTCTATGGTCCTGAGCTACACGGCATACATGCTAATTATCACCACCATATTTATCGTTTGCATCGTCACCATTGCCATTGTACGATCACCCACAGCAACAGCAGAGCGTGCACGACTATTTGTCTATAACCACCACTCCTGTGACGACCACCGTCAGTCAACACCACCACCACTCTGTCAGCGTGAACAAGCGCGTCTGTACACAAGCGGTCCATCACCGTCGGCGTCGGCGGCGGTGTTGGAGCTCTTCGTCCGAACGCAACACCGCGACCCGCGATTGCGCTTTCGGCTCTGTGCAAAGCGTCACCGTCGTTATTATTGTTACCGACTTCTCGTGACGCCCTCTTGTCTAGGGTTCGAACGGGAGGTTTTAGACTCCGTAAACCACAACGGCATGGACGGCATATTGCTCGTCGACCCGGTCTTCAACACTCAGCACGTACGTGAACCCTTAACCGTGACGCTCTCACTGCCATTACTATCGTTATCACGCATGCATACTGTTAAGCATTTGAAAGATTAGAATCTAGCGGGTATATGATAAGCTTGAAGGATATAATTTTAATGCCACATATATGACTTTCAAAACTATCTGTCATCATTATAATGAGAGAGATTGTATGTCTCGTGCTTGGAAACTGACAGTACAATAATGTGATGCGACCGCTGTAAATGCACAAGGAATATTTATTCCACGAGGCTGTGAAAGGTTTCACGATGCTAGTGGCTTACCAGCTGGCTTCTGGTGTCTCACAGGGTTACCTGCAGCTGGAGACGAACATCTCCATTGAGGATCACTTCTTTGCGAGGATCATCAAACAGAAGATTTACGGCTGAGCCTGTCGGAGGAGGTCGCGTGTTGATATCCCGGGCAGCATAAGGTGGGGGCGTCGCTCAACGTGTCAGAAAATCGGTCGTGGTCAATAGCCCTGTTGCTCTGCCCCGCAAAAAGAGACGACGTCCGTTCGTATGTTGAACTTCTTTCACACCGTACGTAGCCAACCTTGCTAATCGGAGGTGCGTGAACCTCAATAGGATCCTCCCTCCCTGGTGTGGCTGAAGTTGAACTAAACGATCAGACTCTTTATTTAGACTGGAGGTATCCGACGAGCTACAACTGCACAGCTGTCAACACCTTCTCAGTGCCCTACCTTAGTACAGACCAATTCACACCTTATTGGTCACCCCGTGCCGCTTATAAATCTCAACGTTCATCCTGTAAAGTCACATAACAAGGGAGAAACGCAAACAAAGCGGCACATTTTCTTCCCTGTACAAGAACACGGGTAAACCGTATGGGTTGGCAGGTATGCAACTGATGCCATTGATCACTCATCCTGTACTGCGTTGAACTCGTGATGCCATCCATGACTGCCACACAGAGGCGCCCAGGTGAATGCGGGTGGCTCCCTCGTGCACTTTCTTTCCCCTCCACATTTAGAATCAGCATGCGCCTTAGACTATTTGGCCGCTATAACTTTCCACATGATAAGCCACTTTCGTTGAGCTACCGCTTGCGGTCAGGTCGCTTCTGAGAAAGGGGCTGTAATAAGCTCAGTGGACCTTACTTGGTCAAGTAAAAAAAAAACAGTTTTAGTTGTTGCATTGAGTGAGAAAGCAGGCCCAGGGGCAGAGTCTCCTTGCTGCCGCGTTAGCCCAGCGAGGCTGTGGTAGGGACCTGGGCCCATTGAATGGGGCCGGTGCCAATGAGGTCTCTTTTGCAAGGCAGACAACGGTTCATCTTTTTGGTTCTTTCGGTAAAGTCACGTAGAATGGAAATAAAATAATAAAAATAAAACATAATGAAATAAAATTCTCACGACGTTTCTGCCACAACACAAGTAGCCTTCTTCAGGTGAAGAAACAGGATTGTCCAGAAGACAGCGCTTGAGCTGTCTTCCGGACAGTTCTTCACCTGAAGAAGGCTACTTGTGTTGTTGCCGAAACGTCGTGAGAATTTTATTTTATGTTTTATTTTTATTATTTTATTTCCATTCTACGTGACTTTACCGACGAAAGATCCAAAAAGATGCATCCCTGCAGTCACGAAAGCTTTAAATCGAAATCAGACAACGGTTGTTGATGTTTCCACCATGGGGTACGTTACGACCCCGCGAGTTACTCGAGCGGAATATTCACGGCAATCATCGCCCCCTACTGTGAAAATTTGGCAAGAGCCACAGGAAATAGACTTTCCTGGATAAACGAGCGTAATAATAATGATGAAGCTTTTAAAAAACGTATTGTTATTGCTTGTATTTATAATATTCACCGTGTATGTTATTATTTTTCATACATTTTATTTATGTTTTGTGATACGATATACATCGAGGCAGGCAACAAGTTGTCACCGCTGTGAGCTATTCCACATTCCTATGGCGGGGCCATTCCATTCTTCAACGAACTACCACCGATTTCCCACCACGTGTGGTGCAGTCTCACCAAATTGTGTTTAATTTACCTGCCCTCAAGGGATAATGATAATGAGTTAACTATCACCAAGATGTGAACAAAATGAATACGCCCAATATTGTTTCGGTTGCTGTATAATGATTAAGTACCCTACTTGTTAGAAAACATAAATATAAAGTAGCATCATTATCGTTATGTATACATCAATATGCCTTTAACCAAATCGCTCTGTGTATGTTTGATATTTTCAGATCTCAGAAGCTAAGCAGGGGGTTGATACTTGGATGGGAGACTGCCTGGCCAATACCAGGCATTATAGCCGCTGGCTACAAGGTTGCCATGAAGTGGCAGTACAGCAATTGAATTATCGAATCTTCTCGTACGGATCTTTGATTGTTATCCCCCTCGAACACGCGGGCTTTCTCAAGGCACTCCGATTATCTCGGCGCACAACGCCAAACACTCATTCGTGGCGTGTGCCAAACAAACCCAACGCGACTCTCTCGAGACTCATTTGGGGTTCTCCTGGGTGAATCGACGCCTCACACACACATCACGTGACTGTGTACAAAGTGTCATTTCCTCTTAAAATAAGTCGTTGACAGCGTAGTGTCTTTCAACATAATCGTTTATTATAATTCAACCCTCTGTGTATTTTTCAGTGTACATATATATGACAACAGGTTAAAGTGATATAAGAATATATATATCACTGGCACAGTTATAAAACGCATTAAATATAGTATAACAGATATGCCATTGCGCTCGGGTTAGTTGCAAAAGCATGCAGGATCAGATTCGTATGAGCTTTAAATATTACTACGGTAATTATGAACACTTAACAAAGCACAAAAACAATATTTAACATGCAACGGACATTCCCTTTTTAATGACAATAACTTATATTGCACCTCTTTACAGTCCATTTAAAGTTCCAGTGTAGGCAGCTTTTGGAGGCTGCTCCCTCCCTATGGTCCGGTGGCCCAGAGTTGGGTTTTTTTTTTTTTGGGGGGGGGGGGGGGGGTCAACCATTGCCATCCCTGAGCAAGGCCACGCAGAAGAAACCAAACTGCAGTCATCGGCCACTTTCGTTCCGAGTCGTCCCGCTCAGACTACGCCGCGCGCTTCTCAATTTCGCCGCAGTTTGTTCTCCGGTGTACGTTTCAAAATTGTCATTCACGTGCCAAGATATGCAATTAAATAATTGTGACCACTCCTCCTCCTCCCGCCACACCACCCCCCCCCGTCTCCGCCCACGCTCGCGACTGGTCCCCGTGGTCTTGCCGTGCCCCTCTGGGGACACGCGCGACACCTCCGAGTGCTGGTAAACCGGTTGCTTCCACCTCCGGGGCGAGCGGGGGGAATGTGGCATCGCTCGAGTCGACGACGATTGAGTCGGCGACAAAGAGAAACGCATTTAGGTTTTCACAGCGGTGGTTTTCTTTTGTTATTTTGTCTTCTTTATTTAAATGGCATTTCCGATTGAAGTTCGGTTTAGATCCGCGTCGCCAAGCGGTAAATTAAGGTGGCAATTATGCTCATGGTGGAAATTACACCAGTTTGGTTTTCAGTCAGCTTCGTAAAAATACGTACAGGTTTTGTTTTTTTTTTGCGGCGAGGGTAGGGTTGGGTGGGGGGGGGAATTTATCACCAATTATATTGCAACTGTGCTGTTGGAATGTAACCACGGGGGCAAATCAACATTGCAAAGGGGAAACCCCCCCCCCCTCCTTCAGTGGGCAGAGCCTCGCTCCCGTCGGGAAGTGGCTGGCTGCAAAAGTTCACGCCATGGAACGACTTCTCAAGTCACTTCAATTCGAGGCCCCTTTGCGATCTGTAAAGAGCGGTCCAATGAATGCCATTCATTGGATGGCACGGTATTTACAATGTGTAGTCCTCCGCGGCAGGGTGAGAGGGAACCTCGTTTTGTCCCACGGTATTCTTTTTTTTTGGTGCAGTCATTGCGGTGCCGCCCTCGGCCGAGACCATCAACTCGATGTACGCTGGAATCCTCGGCTTATTCAAACGTGGCTGCAACTTGCCCGCATTTAAAGCCAGGGGGAGACCCCCGGCAGTTTTGCGTCAGTTCTCGAGACACGGCCCAGCCGTTGTTACGAGGCCTGTGAGCCACCTGGCCATCGTTCAGAGTGCTGTTTTGCGCGAGTGTGATAGAGGTACACACAACATACCGACTCCTGTGTTTAAACACCATGGGGGGCGGGGGGGGTTGGTGGCAACCCGGTGGTTTGAGCACCACGCTATGAACCCAGAGACCGGAGATAAATTCCCAGCCGCGGTGAGTGCCGCATGATCTGGCCCTGGGAACCCACGCACACTGCTGAGCGCGGTGAAGTATGGTCAAACAACGGTCACGGCCCGCCAGGGCGAGATCTTCACGACACAACGGTGGAGCGACATAGGGCAGTAAGTAAAAAAAAAGTAAACACCACAGCGAGAGGGATGTTTCACAAGAGAAGAGTCAAAGCTGGGGGAATTTTTACGTGAAACGATGCTCAAATATTTACTATAAAACTTATTTTTTTATGTTACCAGGTCAGGCCCACCGGGCTATGTAGCTCTTTTTCGGAGGCGACCTGGTGACAAGTGACAGCTCAACCAATCGGCTCATCTTGTGGAAATCTGTAGCAGCCAAATACTCGAACCGGAGCACCCGGAGAAAAATCCACAAGACCACGGGGAGAACATGCAAACTCCACAATGTACAGGCATCAGTGTCAAGATCGAACCCACAAACTCCTGTACACTGGGCGAGGTAGTTAACATCTCAGCACCGGTGGCACCTCCGTTTTCTCTCATGCCATCTCGGGAGACTCTACAATTCAAATGCACCCACTTAGCGCGATGCCAGCCGCACGCATGGTGCGTTTCATCATTTGGTAGCACTCACTGAACACGGCTGCACACAGATAGCCCCGGGGTGTTCCGCGCACGTACGAGGCACTGGCACTTAATATATCGCCGTCCGGATATAAATACATCCGGATCGAGAGCGTCGGTGTGCAGTGCATACCGCTGTCGTAGGCCACTGCCCAGTCACTGCACCCAGACGAACATCAGAATGCGATGGAACAAAAAAAATTATAAAATAAAATAGGACGGTTATATTTCCTGTCGCTGAGACGATAAGAAAATCTTGACATTTCTGCCATCTGGTGTTTCTCTCAGAGAAAAAAATGGGGAAAATAAGAGTTTGAGCCTCGTCGATGCGTTTAAACAAAATCAGGAATCTGCCGATGCGGTAACATTTGAACTAATCATCAGTTACCCTGTGATTATTAGGCTGTGGGAAAAGGAAGCCACTGTTCTGGAGTATTAAGGCTGAATTGTCCACGATATCAGGAGAATGTTTTTCAGGCCACATTTAGAAATCAGAGGAAGTTCTTTTGCAGTGACTCACTGAGATTTATCAGAATAGGCAATTACATCTAGTGGACGGGATGGAAGGCGTCTCAAAGACGCGTCGGCGAACAGACGCAAGTGGAGAGACACGTGCAAGTAGATATCAGTGAAGAAAGAGGCCATGCCCCACCAGCGCAATAGGCCCAGGGACCAGAAGAAATTTTGTCCAGGGTTTGATCACAGATCTATTGTTGGAACAAGTAAAAGTAGACAATTTTTTTTGGCACGTGCGATGCTGAAAATGTAGCCTCGGATAATGTTTTCATTAAAAATAGTACAATGACTGAAGTTTGTGGGAATGAATGCGGAATGTTCTTCCATAAAACTAAGCAAAACACTGTTTACGAGTCTCACCAATCAAGGTGATGCTCATTTCCATTTATGGCTTTGAGCCAGTGATGAAAATTCCACATTCCTATGGCAGGGTTTTCTCCACAGAACCACGACTGATTCACCACGAAGTGGCATTCATTTCCTTGACCTTGGGGAAGTGAATGGTTGAGTCAAAACTTTACTGGGAATTTAACTCAAGTTTCCAACATTTCAATCGCACGCCCAAAAGACATCACCGTGCAGCCAGATGCGCTCTCTTTTGTCCCTTTTAAACCGATTCGAATGATTCCGAACGTCTCGCAACAGCAACAAATTTGGAACCCGACCGTCCCTCGTCACCAAAACTTCACGCTGACAGTGGCACCTGCCGCGTTTCCCGCAGCTTTCACCGTCGAGCGCAACCGGCGCTCGCTGGGCCTCTCTCGTCGTTAAGCCGATGTTGGGCGCAGGCGTTCACGTGCATCGCTACGTTAAACCTCGACTGAAAAGTCGCCTCTTTAGAACTCCTTGTGTGTACAGTTTGTTGCCCTTGCCCCGGCGACCTCCGGTTAGCACGGTTGGCTACGAACGGTGCGAAAGAAGTTCAACATACACACATGCGTGCACAGTCGCTTAAGCTCAACCATAAACGTCTACTCGCATGTGCGTGTGTTCAACTTCTTTCGCACCGTACCTAGCCAACCGTGCTAAACGGAGGAGCCAACCGTGCCACTTGTAACCAATGTCCTGCCCGGCACAGCCACCCACTGCACATTTACTTGCACGGTACTGATGCGGACCGAACACATTTGCCGTACGAATGTAGCCCTCGCCGCCGCCGCCGCTGCTGCTTGTAAATAGTTTTGAGTGGGAGCTACGCAAGATTCCCTGCCGAGGTCGTCTGGTGTTCATCACTCTTCTCCGCCTTATCACCGTCGCTCGGGGGTTTGGGAGGTGGGGGGGAGAAAAAAAAAAACCACGTGGCACATCTCACAAGCCCGAGAACGCGTTGCGCCTTGTAACAGACGCGGCCGTCCACCCCACACACAGCCCCGACGCCCCTTCTGAGACAGTGACATCACTACGCCGTGTGCGGAACACTTACTCAGCATTTCACTTTGCCCTGTAGTGCGACAACAGAGCTGCACTACCAGTTTGTAGACATGCGGCGGTGTATGCAAGTCACACGGCGGGGGGGGGGGGGTACTCTGTGTGCAGCAGAGGTCAGTGAAGCAAAATGCATTGTTGTACTGCACTATGCTCCCACATATATGCTCCCTGCCATCATCACCAATCCGCACCGACCAGCATGATGAAGTACGGTCAATTAACCTCCATGACCTGCATATGGGGAGGCCCTCATTCCCAGTTATGATTCAATGAAATGTCATGATTTGGGGTTAAGAACCATTTATGTTTTGTCTCATACGTAGAGTAACATTGGTAGCCTCGTGCAAATGTCTCGTATTGTCTACCCAGTTTGTTGTCTCTCGTGGATTCCATGAGGCTGCAGGTAAATCGTTGTATAATTTGTGCGCATTATAAACGATCGATATTGATACACGCAACGCAATGGAAGCATCATGGGCGTACGAAATTTATGTTCGTCGATGTGTGTTTGTTGATGTGTGTTTTCGATGTGTGTTGTCGATGTGTGTTTTCGATGTGTGTTTGTCGATGTGTGTTGTCGATGTGTGTTTGTTGATGTGTGTTGTCGATGTGTGTTGTCGATGTGTGTTGTCGATGTGTGTTTGTTGATGTGTGTTGTCGATGTGTGTTGTCGATGTGTGTTTGTTGATGTGTGTTGTCGATGTGTGTTGTCGATGTGTTTGTTGATGTGTGTTGTCGATGTGTGTTGTCGATGTGTGTTGTCGATGTGTGTTTGTTGATGTGTGTTGTCGATGTGTGTTGTCGATGTGTGTTTGTTGATGTGTGTTTTCGATGTGTGTTGTCGATGTGTGTTGTCGATGTGTGTTGTCGATGTGTGGTTGTCGATGTGTGGTTGTCGATGTGTGTTGTCGATGTGTGTTGTCGATGTCGGGCTGCATTGACCTCCAACCAGAATCTGAACTCCCGACACCCGGGGCAATCGAGCGTCGCGCTTGGGGCAAGTTTTCTGCCGCCGAGTCTTGAAGAACGGTACAGCATTTAAGAGTCGTCGCGGCTCGTGATCGCGCAATCAGCCACGGCGGTGACGAGAGAGGGGAGCTGAGCGTGCACTGAAACAAGCCACGTTATACACACGGCGTTAGAAACAAGGCTACGTACATCAGCGTAACCCCCCCCCCCCAACGAACGGTCATCCTCGCAGCAGCGGCTTTTGGCTGGCCGTCGAAGAAAGACAGCCCCCGCATCGCGCGGCGCTTTCAGACGCGCTTCTGCGGCCGTCTGGAACGCTCCTCCTTCCAATATTATAAAGGCCACTGGAGTTCTGCACTTTTAAATCACCTAGTTTGAAAACATGTATTTAGAACAGCTTTTTTGTGTTTACTTTGTTGTCCTTACCCCGCACCTCCGATTATCGCGGTTGGCTACGTAGGGTGCGAAAGAAGTTCAACATACGAACGGACAACTACACCGGCAGCCGCTTCCACACATCACAATGGGCCTGCAGCGTTTTCTTGAGCGCAGTCGGTGACACATTTTCCCAGCGGTGGTGTTTTAATGAACGTCGTTTTATTTCTCATCGATTTGAGTGATGCATTCCCTTTCGGCTGCATTTGGCCGAATTTTGTCACCACAGTTTTACAACATTCTCAACCCTGCCGAGCCATCGAGCCATGGCCAGGCAGTGTAGACACTCTTTCGATATCTAATTTAAACTTAATAACAATTAAATCAGCGTATACATAGTTATCTGTATCTCTATATATATTTACTTTATAAGGATCTCGGCTCAATAGATCTGGGATTTAGTGAGTGTGAACAGAGGTTGGGAGTGGAGTGTTTTGAGTTTCCAGGTTCTATAAACGGACACCAGCGCGCACACACACTCATGCATCAAGGGAACAGGGAGGAGTATTAAGTAAACATATTTCAACCTATGTTTAAAGTGGGGTTTGTTTCCTGCTTCTATTCATAAGTGTAATTACCACAGCCAGTTATAGGCGACTGCCAAGATGTTTGAATCTGAGCTTTGTAATGTTAGAATGTGTTTGCTGGGCTTCTTTCGCATGTGAGAATCAGAAAATGTATTTATACTGGAGGAATCCGATGAGCTATAAAGCTTTTTTTCACATATGTCCAATAATAAAATTATGATTTCTCAAGATCGAAGAGGGACTCTTGGACAATGCGTATTTTAAAAGGGGCTTTACAATTAAACCTGACGATGATGACGACGACGATGATTATGATGACTGATCATTCTAACCGAAACCATGGTGATGAGGATAATTTCTGCTTTCGGCTGTCACAGCTCTACCAACCAAGTACAGTATATATTCGGGTTAGCTGTATTAAATATACTATTATATACATAGAGCTAACCCGAATATACTATTGGGATAATATTAATATCAATGCAAATTATTATTAACATGTTGACGGTAATGATATTTAATTACATTACGATTAATACAATCTTGATTTGGAGCTTTACAATGCCAATTATGATTGAGATTATGCCCATAATTATTGAAATGATGATGACGATCACGATAACAGCAGTTATGATGGAAAATTATATTATGACAATCGTTACGAAACGATCACGCTGACACTGACGATGGACAACATGGCAGTAGCAACGCCAACGATCGGCGGCAGTGCCAACGACGGCGGCCCGATTACGATAACGGTGACAACAACAACAGCAACAGCGCCGGTGACAAGCGGACTTCCCACTACCGTCACCGGCCGCAGTAAAAACAACAACAACAACAACCCCAAAACAAACAAACGTCGTCGCGGCGTGCGGTCGGCGCTCATACGAAGTGCGTCATCACGGCCGAGTGGTGCCGCATGCCCTGCATGGCGGCGGCGTACGGTCCCTGCTGGAAGTAGTGGTGGTAGCGTTGCAGGTGGAAGGCCGAGAGGGCCGGGCCGTGCACGCCGGCACCGTGCGCCTGTAGGCCGCCGAGCCGCGCGTAGGCGTGCGCCGCCGCCGCCGCGGCGTGCACCGAGGAGGCGGACGGGGAGATGGAGGAGGAGGTGGAGCAGGCGGAGGAGGACGACGAGGAGGACGAGGAGGAGGAGGAAGAGGAGGAAGGGGCGCACGATGGAGAGACGCGGTCCGGGCGGCCGGGCAGGGGCGCCGCGATGGGCGCGCCGGACGGAGAGAAGGCGTGGGACACCCACGCCCCACCCAGAGCCAGCCCCGCCGTGGAGGTGAAGGCCGAGCCTGAAATCGCACGCGCGCGCCGGGGGAGTTAGCGCACGGGGAGTTGGCCCAGGGGGTGTCGGTGTAGGGGTGCAGGTGTAAGGGAGCGAGTGCAGGGGTGTGATACACAGGTGAGCACAGGTGTGCGACATACAGGTGTGTGATACACAAATGTGAGTGCAGGTAAGTGATGAACAGGTTGTGAGTGCAAGTGTGCGATACACAGCCGCAGTAATAACCGAGGCGGCCTGCCGGATTCAAACCGCGGACCTCTGTGACGAGTGGCGGGCGCCCTACCACCGGGCCGTGTCAGGCGAGTGGGCGAGTGAGTGAACGGCCAGGTGGCTGAGCGAGCGAGCGAGTCGGCGGGGCAGGTGAGTGAGCAGGGGATTCATAAAGTGAGTGTGTCAGCAGGTGGGACGGGTGAGTAAGTGAGTGAGCAGGGGGTTTATTGAGCGAGCGAGCGAGCGGACAACTCAATGAGCGAGCAAGCAAGCAGGTGGGACGAGTGAGTAAGTGAGTGAGCAGGGGGTTTATTGAGCGAGCGGGCAACTCAATGAGCGAGCAAGCAAGCAGGTGGGACGGGTGAGTGAGTGAGCAGAGGGTTTATTGAGCGAGCGAGTGAGCGAGCGGGCAACTCAATGAGCGAGCAAGCAAGCAGGTGGGACGGGTGAGTGAGTGAGTGAGCAGGGGGTTTATTGAGCGAGCGAGTGAGCGAGCGGGCAACTCAATGAGCGAGCAAGCAAGCAGGTGGGACGGGTGGGTGAGTGAGTGAGTGAGCAGGGGGTTTATTGAGCGAGCGAGAGAGCGGGCGCACGAACCGCGTGGAGGTGCGCCGCACTGCGCGTCGTCCAGGTCGTCGTCGCCGCCGCCGCTGGTGGAGTAGGGGCGCACGGGCGAGCGTGCGTACGTGTGCTTCTGGATGAGGCTGTCGACGCTCTCCCGGCCCGGGCCTCCCGCACACGCGCGCTCCAGGTACACGCTGCTGGCACGCGCGCACAAAGACGAAGACCCCCCCCCCCCCACCCCGTGTATCCTTAACGGACTGTCGAGAGCAATGTTTGCAACTAACACCAGGTACTAAATTGAGGCCGGGTCGACCTAGGGGAGGCCCAGAACTGGTTCAGATAATCGTGACTGGTGTTGGCCATGAGCGGGTTATCCGACCCGGGTGGCCAGGTTCGAAGCGCACTGTGCTAACTGCTGCACTCCATGCACGCACAGACACAAACGCACGTGTAGCCTACGCAAACTATTGGGGCAAATGCTGTTCGCGAGCACCGACCAAGACTTTTGCGGCACACGAGGGGGCAAGTTGGCAGCACCCTACCCGAGCGCCTTTGTTTCCCCATTGCCGATGTTTTTAGAGACCACACCAGGTACTCATTTAATGCTCAGTCGACCTTAAGGGACGCTCAAGACTGGTTCAATTATGCGTCACCGATGTTGTCTGTGAGCGTGAATCGAACTCCGGTCTCTGGGTTCGTAGCGCAGTGTGCTACCCACACGCTCATGTCTACAGACACACACGCGAGTACAGACACACACGCTCATACCTACACACACGCTCATACCTACAGACACACACGCTCATACCTACAGAGACACACACTCATACTTACACACACGCACGCTCATGCCTACACACACACACGCTCAGGCCTACACACACACACGCTCATACCTACACACACGCTCATACCTACACACACACGCTCATGCCTACACACATACACACACGCTCATGCCTACACACACACACGCTCATGCCTACACACACACACACACGCTCATACCTACACACACACATGCTCATACCTACACACACGCTCATACCTACAGACACACACGCTCATACCTACACACACGCTCATACCTACACACACGCTCATACCTACACACACACACGCTCATACCTACACACACACACACACGCTCATACCTACACACACGCTCATACCTACAGACACACGCTAATGCCTACACACACACACACGCTCATGCCTACACACACACACGCTCATGCCTACACACACACGCGCTCATACCTACACACGCACACGCTCATACCTACACACACACTCATACCTACACACACACACGCTCATGCCTACACACACACACTCATACCTACACACGCGCACGCTCATGCCTACACACACACGCTCATGCCTACACACACACACGCTCATGCCTACAGACACACACACTCATACCTACACACACACACGCTAATGCCTACACACACACACGCTCATGCCTACACACACGCACGCTCATGCCTACACACACACACGCTCATGCCTACACACACACACGCTCATGCCTACACACACACACGCTCATACCTACACACACACGCTCATGCCTACAGACACACACGCTCATGCCTACACACACACACGCTCATGCCTACACACACACACGCGAGTACCTACACACACACACGCTCATACCTACACACACACACGCTCATGCCTACAGAAACACACACACTCATACCTACAGACACACACGCTCATGCCTACACACCCACGCTCATGCCTACACACACATGCTCATGCCTACAGACACGCATGGTCATACCTACACACACACTCATGCCTATAGACACGCACACTCATACCTACACACACACACTCATGCCTACACACACACACGCTCATGCCTACAGACACACACGCTCATACCTACACACACACACACACGCTCATGCCTACACACCCACGCTCATGCCTACACACACATGCTCATGCCTACAGACACGCATGGTCATACCTACACACACACTCATGCCTATAGACACGCACACTCATACCTACACACACACACTCATGCCTACACACACACACGCTCATGCCTACAGACACACACGCTCATACCTACACACACACACACACGCTCATGCCTACACACACACACGCGAGTACAGACACGCACGCAAACACGTCAATCAGTAATCTTTGCGACCAAGTGGGAGTTTATTGAGACCACGTCTCTTTTTAAAAAGCAGATATAGAAAAAAAATGTTCAATGCCTGCCATAAAACTTCAAATGCCAGAAATAAACGCTTACATTTACGGGACAGTAGTTTGCTATTCATGGTGAAACTTTTTTTTACACTAAAGTAATACACAAACTTACACAAATATGCATATGCATACATCTACACATGATAAAGACAATGGTCCCCCGTATTGCCTTAACGGACTGTTGGGGCAAGTGATGTTAGTGAGCACCTATGAAGGCCGACACGGCAAACGACAGGGTGGGTGGCCAGCACCACGCCCGGCCGCCTTTGTCTCCCTAGTAGTGATGTTTACAGATCGTACCGGGTACTCATTTGACCTAAGAGAGGCCCAGGACCAGTTCAGATAATCGTCACTGGTGTTGGCTGCGAACTTGCTCTTGCCATAGGAATGTGGAATTGTGACCGATGTCTCCTGCCACAGGAATGCGAAATAATTATTTTAACGGAAGCCGCTTTCACGATGTGATCGAAACTTTCGCACAAATGAACACATCGCAGATAAAATAAATCAACGAATGACCTTTTTTTTTTACAGACCTTTGCAAATCCACGGCCGGATGAAGGCCTCCCTCCCTATTGCCACGTCAATCATTGGGGATCGTTTTGCCGTACTTCACCAACGCTGACCGCACTAGTGCGCCTCGGTGAACCGGTCCCACCCGGGGGGCCGGTTCAGATACCACTCGCCGCTGAAGCGAGCCGTCACGTGGAATCGAACTCAGGCTCCCCAGGCTTCGTGTCCAACCACTGCACCCATCGCTCTCCCCCTCCCCCCCAATCCCTGCCCCTCACTAACAGACGCACCCCCCGTCAGGACTGGATACGTTCGCCGGCGCTCATGACATTCCCCCCCCCTCCTCTTCTACCCAACTCTAGTTGGTTGGCCCACAAGCGAGAGACAAAAAATAAAAGCGCATCTTCCTTAAGGACAGATGCAGATGCGGCGTCATAGCGCAGTCATCAAATTATCATTTATCTTCCCACCGGCTAAATTAGGGGGTAAACACTGGTCTTTGTGTGTGGCAGAAAGCGCGACTAATAGCATTGCGTCTGTAAATGTGCCCCCAGAGACCGCGGCTCTGAATTGCTTCCTGGAACTAAAAACAAGCCCTGCTCCCCTAATGCAATCGCGGCCCGACATCCGACTCCACAATAATCGCGTTTGCATTCTAATGGCCATCAAATTGACTTACTCCAAAACCATTAGTGCCTCGGACAAATCTGTAAGCAAAAATAACATTTAAGAGCTCCCGTTATCGTTTCCCTCTTTTTCTCGGTTTAGTGGGGGAGGTTTTTTTTTTCCCCGAGCGCGCGCGCGCGCGTGCGTGCGTCCGTGCCAATTGGAGACGCGCAAGGCGTGCGTATTGATCGCGTATGTCGTACGCGAGGCGAGGTTAACAGAAAGACATTTCAAGGCGCTCTCTGCCTTCCCGGGAATATCGCTCAACAGCAGCAAAAAACTTAATTCAATTTCATTTTAAAGTAAAGGTCAAAGTGCTTTGGTAAGTGTCGTGTGTGCGCGTGTGTATGCTGAACTTATCTCGCACCGTACAGAGCCAACCGTGCCAATCGGAGGTGCGGGGGAAGGACAACAAACTAAACACAAAAAGCAGTAGGAAAGAAACGCGTTTTCAATGATTTAAAAGTGCATAGCTCCAGTGGCTTCCTAATATCGGAAGAGCATTCCAGACGGCCGCAGAAGCGTATCTGAAAGCGCCATGCAATGCCATGACCGTCTTTGTACGACGGTTAGCCAAAAGCCGGTGCGAGGATGACCGGAGTTCACGCTCCTTGATGAGATCGGCAAGATATTGTGGATTATTTGTGGCAAGCACTTTGTGCGTAACAAAGTGTTTGGCGGCACTCATCTCCATTGTCGGTCCTGACCCACAGCGATGGAAATTCCATATTCTTATGACAGGGACCAGTCCATCCTTTAAACAAAAAAAACAGCAGCCAACGTTGGCTTTGTTACACCAAGCGAAGCTGCCTCACAAGGTGGTACATATTTTACACACCCTGGAGGGATTATGATGATGACGATGTGGGGTTACCCTCATCGGAAATTTAATTCATTGACCATAAATGTAATTAATTAAACCCAACCAAAAACTGAATGTTACAACCGCGCTTATCTCAGCTATAAATTTGCCAACAATTCACTTTTCAACTGTAAATATTTCATGCTCCGTGACAGACGGTCACAGCTAGGCGAGGATTTCATCCAGTGGTGGATTGATCACCGCTGATGATAATGACGATTATATATTTTCCTACTGATATAAACATGGCCCTTCCATAGCAACGTGGAGCTTCCATCCCACCTTTGACTCGAGACTCAACAGAGATGAGCGTTACCCTCAACTTGTTCGAGCAGGGAGACACCTTTCACTTTAATCCCTACAAGTATACAGTACACATACTTTAGCTGCGGGCCATGGCGTAAGTTTGAGTCATTATCCAATAACTCCTGCTGTGGATGAGATCAAAAGGTAACGTCATACAAATAATTTCAATCGTTTCATCAATCAAATAATGTCCAGCCAACAGAATAGCACTTACTCTGTTGAACTAAATAATGGTTTCCAGCTCTCTGTGAAATCCACAACTGGATGAAGGCCTCCCAACACATTGGTCGTCCGACTATACTTCACCACGTCAGTCAGTGTGTGTTTCTGAAGGGGGCCCAGACCCTCACGGATATCACTCGCCACTGTCAGCCTAGGCTGGGAATCCAACCCCAGGTCGCAAGTGCACTCACCGCCATGCCACCGTTCCAAGTTTGTAAACATATCGTTGCGTTGCATTACATGTAATTCCTCAATGTCAGTTTGGAATGATACCTCATACGTCCGTCCGTACGTACATATTCTATCTGAAGGAGTGGATATATGTCTGCGACAGAGTGCCTGTTTATGTTGCTAAAAGTGTTTTAATTGGACGTTTCAGAGCACCGGGCATATGATCTTTGTTCCCGGTATGGATCTCTGTATCAAACACGAGCGGTGCCTCGTGAGCAGCTATTGAATTTCGCTGACGGTGGCTCATGAATAATGGAGGAAAAAAAAGTGCATTTTTTGGGGGGGATTTTTTTTTTTTGTCCAAACGGTCAATATCGCGGCGCATTGTTTGCCCCTAGTCCATTGTGACTCCTGCGTGCCGCGCCGCGCCGCGCCGGGCCGCCGAGAGACGCGCGCGTCTGCCGCATGCGGATGCGGGGAGGGACACGTAAAACCATTACGAGAGTAACCGGTGCGAGTCTGGCTGGAGCCGCCGTGACCTCTCCACAATGGGCAGCTCCAGACTCTGGGTGTGTGCGGGGGCGGTTGGGGGGGTTTGCCGGGCGCTGCGTTTGCGCGCCCTCTCGGCTCTACGCGCCGAGAGGGCCGCAGAGTGTCGGCTCCAACGCTGGCGATCGCGCACGGCCTGGAGGTGGCCACGTGTGGCTGGCTTGGGATGGGGGAAGGGGGGGGGGGGTGGTTCATCATGGCCGTGTCTGAGGCTAAAAAAACTAAAACTGAGCTGTATAGCTATTTTTCATAAGCGACCTGACTATCACAAATGCTAGCCCAGCAAAGCGGGGCTTTATCGTGTGGAAATGTACAGCGGCAAAATACTCTGCAGTCGTGATGCTGATTCTAAATGTTGGAGAGGAAAACCAGAGGACCCGGAGGAAAATCCACGCGACCACGGGGAGAGAGACACGCAAACTCCAAACACACAGGCGTCAGGGTCGGGATCGGACCCATGACCTCCTGTATACCGGGCGAGGAGGTTAACATCTCGCCACCGCAACACCAAGCCGGCATCGGAAAAATGGTGCATTTGAATCCTAGACGGAGTGTCCCTGTGTCTTTCTCGCTCTCAGGAGGCTCATGATGGTCGTGTCTAAAACACTGAGCCCCGGCATCGTGAAGACGAAGGGTTTGAGTCCTGGGCTTGGTGCCTCTCTGGCATTCTCTATCTGCGGACTCAGGATGGCCGTGTCTGACACATTGAGCTGGCACCACTACGAGGCTAGATTTAAGCACTGCAACTGTCTCTCTTAGTGGGCTCATGGCCACCTATTTTAACAACAAACAAACTCCACAATTGTCAAAGTATTTGTCAACTCACCATATTTCCATTGGTTACAATGAGTCAGCAGTGGACTTTCTTTGCTTTGGCAGGAGTCAGTCATTTATAGAACAACCGCTGTAAACTCCCCAAAGTGGTACTCGTTTTATACACCACGTAAGTATCATTGGCTAAGATGACCCTTGACTGGGAATTGCCGGGGTCATGGGTTTGAGCCCTAGGGCTGGGTGCCTCTGTCCATCACTCATTATTGAGAGAACTCATAATGGCCATGTTCAAGAAAGAGTCAACTCCTCTGGGTTCTAGAGTGGTAGAGCACAGGGCTTGGTCTCCACTGCTGGATGAAGAACTCCCCACGTGGGAGTTGTTTGACCATACTTCACCGTGCTGGTCAATGCGGGTTGGTACCCAGGAGCAGTTCAGCTACCACTCTCCACTGATTTACTGCTGGCCAAAAACCCAACTCAGGTCACGGGGTTCAGGGTGCATTGCGCTAAGCGCTGAACCACCACTCCACCACTCTGCAGATATATTCATTTCGTAATAATTGCGATTGTGGAAATTCCAACACCATCAACAACAAATAGCACTGAATCTCCCTATGCTTACCAGGGGTGTAACGCAATGCGTTGATCTGTCGATTGGAATGTCTCCTTACAGCTCACCCATGCATGCATCGGACCGTGCGTGCACGAGCAGTTATTTTATATTCGTATATGTTGTATGTTATGAGTTCTCATCAGCCCTGCAAGTGCCACTGTAATAGCTTGCCACGTTACAGCGCTATACAAGTCGTCACTATAATTATTATTACAAGAGACGCTGTACTGCACCACAACGTTAAATGAAAAAATGTATACATTATATCGAATCAAAAATCGAATAGCCGGGCGGGGTCAAGTGGTGTTACCGGCCCAAAGACTCACCTTTCCAGGTCGCTGAGACGAGATGAGTCACGAAATCCCTTGGCGAATGGGTTGCTGTCGATTTTGAGTTTCGTTATCTGTGGGGACACGTCCAGTACTAGGTTAAGGCTGAGTCAAACCTAGGAGAGGCAACCTATCAGGTGGACGTCACTCACTAACGATGTGTGACGTGATACGAATTGGATGCTGGTTATTATCACACCACTCGCAGTGTCCTTTGAAACATTTGTAGGTCTTTTCTTAAACGCATGCACATGCGTACACAAAGACAAACTTCCCCCCTGTAGCCTTAACACACTCTTGGGGCAAGTGCTGTTAGCGAGCATCTCTGAAGGCCGGCACCGCACACGAGGGGGGTGGGTGGCCAGCACCACGTCCGGGTCGCCTTTGTCTCCCCAGTGGCGATGTTTACACACCGCACCAGGTAATCATTTGAGGTTGAGTCGACCTAAGGGATGGCCCAGGACCGGTTCAGATAATCGTCACCGGTGTTGGCCGTGAGCGGGAATCGAACTCGGGTGGCCAGGTTCGTAGCGCACCAACTGCTCCCCACACACGCCCACACACGCCCACACACCAGCTGATTCTGGTAGGCGGTGACGGCCGTGAAGACAGTTTCTGGAAACACGAATGTGCGGAACTCCTCCGACTTGAGGTTGACGAGGGACGAGGTGTGGTCCATCTTCTTGATGATGTGCACGCGCGGTTGGTACTTGTGCATGGAGTTGAGGATTATCTGAAGACGAGCAACGAAGGAGAGTCACACAAATGGCGGAGGCAGCAGAAGCACCAGTAGCTGCAGAAGCAGCAGCAGTAGCTGCAGCAGAAGCAGTAGCAGTAGCTACAGAAGCAGCAGCAGTAGCAGCAGCAGTAGCAGCAGCAGAAGCAGCAGCACCAGCAGAAGCAGTATCAGTAGCAGCAACAGGGGCAGCAGAAGCACCAGTAGCTGGATAAGCAGTAGCGGCAGCAGTAGCAGCAGTAGCTGCAGAAGCAGCAGCAGAAGTATCAGTTGAGCCAGCAGAATCGGCACCAGCACTGGCAGGATCAGAGTAGCAGCAGGAGCAGCAGTGACAAGGTTAAAGGGTGGTCTCAGTCACAGTGCTCACTCAGCATCACTCCAGGGTGAAAGGTCCTGCCTGTTTAGAGAAACATTACCCAATTCTAATATATGCTGGTCACACACGTCTGGTTCACAGCACAATGCACTCACCACAAATACATGTGCAAAATCACCCATACACGCACACACATATATATGCACATATAAAACACACACTCACAGACGTACGTATATACACTCCCGCCCACACACATATTTACGATAAAAAATAATAAGTAACTTAGAGCTCTTTGTCAATCCACTGCTCTGCTGTTTGCGGAGATTGTTTCGAGATACTTTAACATGAAGACCAGTGTGGGTAGGTGAAGGGAGCGGTCAGGACCAGTTCAAATATCATGGCCACTTGGAATTGAACTCAGGTCGCCATGTCCAATGCGAAATGTGTGGAAACCAACGCAGCACCAGCAACGAAAATCGAATCCAAACATATGAGCACCATTGTTATTTGGAGTTCCCTCTTTGGCCAAACTGCCACTTATGCCAATAAAAAAAGTTGGCATAAGTTGCAAAATGAAACACTTTAATAACTCATTGTAACATTTCACATCAACCGGACAATACGTGGCATTACGTAATGTGGGGGCGGGGGGGTGAGCTGGGGGGGTGAGCTGGGAGGGTGAGCTGGGAGGGTGAGCTGGGGGGGGGGGGGTGAGCTGGGAGGGTGAGCTGGGAGGGTGAGCTCTCTGCACAGGATATTGTACACAGCACAACACAACGTGCTGTGTACCACGTATCCAGATTTATCGTGCGTCAGTAAATTGCTCGTGACAACGGCTCACACTGCCTCGGCCTTGTGGGATCCGCAGTGTCCTCAGGCGAGCAGATGCCATTTCTTTGATCCCATTTCCCCGGCGCGTTATCGGATGATACGGGACTGGACGCGCCCGCTCTTGAGCCAGCTCAGGAATAATCCCGCTAAAGGATGCCCTCCCCCCCGGCCGCTATCCAGGCGCGCAAGGCGGCGCCTAATGGGAAACGTAAATATTCCTGCAGAGACGCGCGCGCGCTCACAATCGTGATCTCATTACAGCCTGAGACAGCGGGGAGGGGGGGGGGTCAGTGGATGGGTGAGGGTTAAAATCCACGCAACCGTCAAGCGCCGTGATTGAAATGCTGTTCATTTGTTACCGTCCGTCAAGTCTACGCGGGCAGGTTTTACATTTCTGTAATCGCGGACGGCGGCGTAATTTATTGCCGCGTTTTAATTCTGGCGGCGCTCGGCGGGAGATATTTTGCCCGAGTGCTCGTGGATGAATGTCAGTGGTAAGTGAGCCTGATTAAGGACCCACGTCCGAATTTGTAAACCGCCCGTGCTAATGTTGTTTATTAAGTGTGCGTCGTCAGATTAACTTAGCACTCGCATTGCTCACAGGAGTTCGAATACAAATTACCGTCGTACCATTATTGGTTACGTTTAAAGTGAGCAACGTGTTATTGTGGAGCTATACAGTCTATGGACTTTGACAAGGACACTTTCATCATCGGTTAGAATCCACCAACGGTGATGTGATACAGCACGTAGGTTACCGAGCTAACTGTGCGGAGTTTGATTTTTCCTCCCGTCAGCCGGGATGAGTACCGGCCAATGCTCGTTTCAGCAAAGGAGATGCACTGAAGATTTGTTTGGTCTTCATTAATTGAAGTATATTTTGATTTAAAGCTTTCGTGACTGCAGGGATTCATATTCTTGGTTCTTTCGGTAAAGTTACGTAGAAGGGAAACAATAAAATAATACAAATATAAAACAATAAAATTCTCACAACGTTTCGACTGCAACACAAGCAATCATCATCAGGTGTGAAAACCACAGCAGTCGAAACGTCGTGATAATTTTATTGTTTTATATTTTTATTATTTTATTGTTTCCCTTCTACGTGACTTTACCAAAAGAACCAAGAATATAATTGAAGTATATTCCAGTTGTGACTTTCATAATCACGTCACGACAATGAATATTTTTGCATTTGGGACACTAACAAAATATAGTGTGTATCAAACAGCCGGACGCTGGAAAGTGACTTCACAGATCAACTCATTGCTTCCAATCCAAACTGGGTGTATCTATGTAAGGGGCGCCGTGGTGGAGAGATGTTAACTCCCCGCCTGGTATGCAGGATCGTGGGTTAGATCCCGATCTTGACGTCTGTATATTTGGAGTTTGCATGTTCTCTCTCTCTCAATGGTCGCAGGGATTTTTCTCCAGGTCTTCCGGTTTTTCCCTCCATATTTATAAACATGCAAACACAGTATTTGGCTGCTATAAATTTGGCTGCTATAAATTTGCCTGTTATAAATTTCCACGCGATTAGCCACTTTGTTGAGTCAGCTACTATTGGTGGCCAGGTCGTATCTGAAAAAAGAGCTATACAGCTCAGTGGGCCTTACCTGGTAAAATAAAATAAAATGTTTCATAGTTTTTATACATGCTGAACTTATTTCGCACCGTACGTAGCCAACCGTGCTCACCGCTGGCGCTGCACCCTCTCACGTGCCCTGCTAGAGCGGCGTTCTAGAGCTGGCAGAATGGCAAATTAAGTGAAAACAAAATATCATAAAAACAGGTCTTTTGTTCTGAGACCATCAGCTTCTTGTGCGTGAGAACCCGGTTTATTAACTGGTGGCTGCCCAGATTGAAATCCACAATTTCAAATTGATACCAGCTCGGTGCTCTGACATGTATCATCCCTAGCCCCTTGCCGACTACATTTGAAATCTAGATTGAAAATTAATTTCTTTGGAATTTCTTTTTGTTTTTAGTTTGTTGTCCTTCCCCCGCACCTCCGATTAACATGGTTGGCTACGTACGGTGTGGAAGAAGTTCAACATACAAATGTACACTCACCACTCCCCTCCATCGCATCCCTTGCCACCACCAATGCCTTTCATGCACCCCCCCCCCCCCCCCCCACCCCTCAGCCGCCACCTCCCAATGCTATTAAACTCAAGGTATGGAAAAACATTATATTTTTCCAGATCTCAGCCCCGGAGAGCTCCCGGCTGAAATGAAAACCCTGGCCAAACACGGTTGCCGATGAGCCGGAGAGTTCTACCGCGTGGCGAGGGCAGCGGCACGCCCTGGGACGTCCGCCGCCCGGCGGGGAGCGGGCGCCACTCACGTGGCCGTGCTGGTCCAGCTCGTTGTTGGTGAGCTTGAGCTTCTCGAACGAGACCATCTGCTTGTGCAGCTGCTCGCCGGCGAACGGCGAGTCCGGGTGCACGTAGAGCCTGCACGCACGCACCATGCACCGCGCACACACAGACGAGGTCCCACACCGTGCAGCCTACGTAAGACCCTTTGGGGGGCCGGTGGTGGTGTTAGCGAGCGCCTATTAAGGTGTATGAATGGCCAAGTCGTTGAGCGGTAGTTTGTGATGTTCTGTCTCTCGTCCTCTTTATCCCCACAACAAGCTAAACACAAAAAGCAGTTCTAAAGAAATGAGTTTGCAATCTAGGTGATTTAAAAGTGCATAGCTCCAGTGGCTTCCAAATATCGGAAGAGCGTTCCAGACGGTCGCAGAAGCGCATCTGAAAGCGCCACGCGATGCGATGACCGTCTTTGTTTGACTGCTCGCCAAAAGCCGCTGCGAGGATGACCGGAGTCCACGTGTTGGTTAATGCTCCACACGTATTAGCCTTTTTGCAACTCTTCTCACGAGGGCCTCTGTTCACCTGAACGTTGCTGGTTCATCTCGAGGCAGTGCAATGAAGCGGCTGGAATGGGTGTGCCCCTGCACGGGCGGCACAGTGGGGAGGGAAGTGCTGCGGGAGTGTCGAGCGGGCGCGTGTTGCACCTTGCGGGTAGCGGAGGGTCGGCCTTGCCCGCCACGAGCCAGGAGGAGCGGTGGTACGCGTAGCGGTAGCGCTTGTTGTCCACGGGCACGATGTCCATGAGCACGATGTACTTCGCGTCGGGCTCCACTCCTCCGAACGACACGCGGATCGTGGGGAACATGCGCCTGCACAAAAAACAAAGGTCCCCCAGTGTAGTGTCAACAGACCGTTGATAGGGCAAGTGCCGTCAGCGAGCACCTATGAAGGCCGGCACTGTGGCACGCGAGGGGGTGGGTGGCCGACACCACGCCCGTGACGCCTTTGTCTCCCGAGCGGCGGCGTTTACACACTGCACCAGGTACTCATTTGAGGCTGAGTCGACCTAGGGGAGGCCCAGGACCTGCTCAGATAATCGTGACTGGTTTCGACCGTGAGCAGGAATCGAACGTAGCGCAGTGTGCTAACCACTACACTACCGATCCACATTACAGCACACACACAAACGTACGGGCATAGCTCTATTAGATAGTTCAGATCTAGCAGATGTGGGAGGCGGGGGGGATCGTCATCTCGAAGTGAGTTCCCCCAGTAATTTATTCCAGTTTCCAGCATTGGATGAAACTCCTAAAACCCGTCAACCCGTCCGACAGCTGTAACAGCGTGAGCTCGAAAACCCACGTGGTCGAATTTCTCAACGAACATTTCCCGGGTCGCTGGTAGCCTCCAGTCGGTGGCAGGCCACTAGTCGCAGCACTCACAGCAGGGGGGAATACTTGGTGTGGTGTGTCGGGGGTGGAGGGAGTGGTAATGGGGGGTGGGGGGTAGGACCTGTACCGACACGGCCGAGGCGCTGCTCGTACCGGCCGGATTTTGTGATGATCATTTCGGTGCCGAGTTCGTGGAACTTCTCCCACAGCTCCTTGGTCTCCAGGGCGCAGGTGACGCTCGCCAGCTCCGCGCTGGGAGCCGGCGACCCCCCCGGGCGGATCAGAGCCTCCATCCCCGGCACCGCCGTCGCCGCCACCGCCGCTGGGCCGCCCCTGCTCCTCGTCGGGACGTCCACTACCCCCGCCGGGTCAGCCACGGACGACGTGACGCCGTCGTCGCCCTCCTCGTCCTCCTCGTCCCGCCGCGGCGAAGCCTCCACGAACTTCTCTGCAGAGAGTTGCCGTGGGAGGGGGGGGGGTGTGGGAGGTCAGGGTCGGTCGCGTTGTCGCTCGGCCCCAGGTGGTGGTGTGTGGAGCTCCACCGAGCATGCAGGCGGTGGAACTGCACCGGGGACCGCGGGCCAGAGGGGACTCAAGCGCCGGTAGGGAGATGCGGGGCCAGGGGAGTGGGCCCCTCCACCCCCAGCACACCTTCAAACTAGACCGGAAGAATTACTACCGACACAATGACGTCGAATCGAAGGATTCCTCCAGTCCTTGATAAATATTCTGATTCTGAAGCACGGGGGGGGGGGGGGTGGGTGGCCCAAAGCAGGGGGCCCAGGGCAGTCGCCCCGATTCACCGTATACCCTAGGGACGACTCCGGGTGCCGGGCTACAAAGAAAGGGGGAACACTGGAGAGAAAGGGTACCCCTCCTCCTCCCGGTTTTATTTGCTGCACCAGGGCCTATGCCAACCCCGCTATGCCACTGCGTCGTATAGTCTCGTAAACCTTTTGGCTTTTCTCACGGAGAGATTATTCATGTTGTGAGCATGTCACTTCATAATGATGCTGTTTGACTTTGCATGGGTTGAGCGGTGGCACAGTGGTTAGCGCACTGCACGATCAACCGAGTGGCCTAAGTTCAATTGCCGGCATCAGTGGCCACGATTCCTGGCCCCGATTCCTGGCCCCGGCCCCGCCATCTATCCGCACTGCCCAGCGTGGTGAAGTATGGTCAAACAAACATGGAAAAAGGGCGGCCATGTACCGTTAGAACTGGTCTGGTGGTGTTGGTTTATTGGTGATGTGGTATTTCATCGCATTGTTGGGTTTTTAGGACCGTAAATGTGGTGTTGGTGTTTTACTATTGTTACAATTACCTTTTTGGTGCAAGCGTTATTCCTGTTGTGGAGCCCGATGGGACTGTGCCAATCATGGGAGTGAAATTTCCACCACCTAAGTCACGAATGAAATTGCATGTCTTCCCGTTGGTAGCTTGTGGAATGAAAAACACTGAGGATTCCGATGTTTGTTTACTGCCATAAACACAGATTGATATATGCTATCTTTTCATGCAGGCTTAAAGGATTTATGTTGAAGAATTCATATATTCAGGTGGACCCCACATTGGGATATATGGCCAATTTCACGAATGCGTGTAGGACGTCACATGGGTTATATGTCCACACCTCTTAATGCAATACTACGGTAGTGATGTAACCTACACGCTATGTTGACAGCCTGAATGTCACCTGAAAGTCAATTTTTCTCACGGATCTGCAAACACGCGCGCATCGGATAACCATGATTATGGGAACGTTTCTGCGAAAAAGAGAGCTCTATCTGTTTTGGTTGATTCTTCATGAACCTGAGCTGAGTGAGATTTGGTTGGCACGATTAGCGGCAACAAATAATTAAATAACATGAACAGCTAAACATCCGTCTCACTCCGTATGATTAACACTGCAGTCCACAAACCCGCAGCCCTTCCAAAAAGCGTGCTTTAAAGCATCATTTGTTTATTAAGAAACACCGTATGATTAACACTGCAGTCCACAAACCCGCAGCCCTTCCAAAAAGCGTGCTTTAAAGCATCATTTGTTTATTAAGAAACACACCCCGGAGCGGTTTCGACCCCGCCGAGTCTAATCAGTAAGGCCGTGGCCTATTATACGAATGCCGCTGGGTTTCGAGGTGGTATCAGAGGCAGAAGCCCTCGAGGAATCCCGATGGGACCCAATCGGTGAAGTACAACACAGATGGCACCACCACTTGCACACGGGGCAGCGTAGCGTGGCTTGCGTGAGCCCTGCTACGTGGAACGACATCTCCCCTCGTCATAGCCCAGCGCCCGGGGTCCCTTTCCTTCCGCCCATGGGGCCCCGATGCATTTGCACCGCTTCAAGTAAGTCCACGCGGCATTGCACGTCTCGGTGTCGACTGGCGAAGGTCGCTTGCTCGCTCGAGCGTGAACGCGAACGCCGTTAGTGGCCACTCCACGACACCGACCTTCGCCCTGGCCAATCCTGCGGGCGATTGAACCGCGGTGTCAAACGGAGGTGACAAAACGCGAACGGCCTCGACTCGGGAGCCTGCGAAAACCACGAACGTGTTCCGTTGTCTCTAAGCCAGCGTGTCGGAGTTGGGGTTGGAAGACCACACACAGATCACGGTGCGTTGTGGAAGCCTGTACAGTTTCCACGACGCGGTGGGCCAGTGGGCGACAGTATAGCAAGTAGGTACTTGAGCAATCTGCAGGTGCCTTTGAGGGCCATCATCTCGGCATGCGCGGGGATCTTCTTTTCCTCCCGCACTCAAAAAAGCATATCCTGGACATCTGTGAAAAAGAGCTTCATAGCTCATTGGATTCCTCCAATATAAATAAATATTCTGATTCTGTATCCAAGCTGGGAAACGGCCAAACGTGAAAAGCAGGACTCTCCTGAAAATTAGTCTCGAGGCTAAATGAGTGTTCGCTGGATCGTTTAATATCTACACGTTTAATATCTACACGTTTAATATCTACACGTTTAATATCTACATGTTTAATATCTACACGTTTAATATCTACACGTTTAATATCTACACGGCACGGGGGAGGCTGCAATGGCGGAATAAAGGATTATCGATAACGGAGGGCGCCTTGGGAGCAAATCAACGGAACGTGCCCGACCTCACCAGATATCGGAAGCTAAGCGGCGCGGAGTCTGGATTGCGCTTGGATGGGTGGCCACCGCGCACGAATGTGTTGTGGACATGGTACGCCAACGTGTACTCTCCCCACCATCACCGACCTGCACCAACCAGCGTGGTTAAGTGTGGCAAGAATAACTCCCAGGATCTGCACGGTACGGAGGAGGCCCTCATCCAGTTGTGGATTTACAAAAGGGCTGTACGCGTGACAATACTCAAACATCATTACGCGCCTTGCACCGCACACCCATGATGTAACTATTTCTCTGTAGTGCAGTCTTTTAGTCTAGGGGACCCCCTAAAGGTGTCTGTCCCTCTGACGCTTGCCAAAATTGAACCTGCATAGTGCCTGGACAGGTGACTAGGGTATCGCAGGCAAGGTTGGTGGATCACGTATAGATCACATTGCGTTGTGGACAGCCATACAGGGCAGCTAGGTGGTGAACGGTGGGTGTAGAGCAAGTGGGTTCTTAATCGGTGCGGAGACGTTTAATAATGAGTTGTGAAGATTTCTTTTTTAACGTTAATTAACGCGAGGCCATGTGTCGTCAAGACATTCGAAATTGTATATTGCCGTGTCTTCGCCAGGAATGTAACATGATCTGGCTGCCGCCGTGACACGGTGTGGAGCGGTAAAGGTCACACAAACACACAGACCGTGTTACACCACCCACTGTCAGTAACTCACTAATCCCACAGCACACACGTGGTCGCCAGACGCGGTTACACGCACGGCCCGTTTGTCAATCCACTGCTGGATGGTAGCCTTCCCCATCGCCCCCAACGGCTTCACTTGGCCCAGATTTCTTCACCGCGCCGGCGAGTATGTTGTCCGTGGACGAGGGGACCCGGCGGCAGCCCGAGGTCGATTCCCGCCGATGATTATCTGAGCCGGTCGTGGGCCTCCCTTAGGTCGACTCAGCCTCAAATGAGTAGCTGGTGTGGTGCGTAAACATCGCCACGACGGAGACAAAGGCGGCCGGGTGTGGTGCTGACCACCCACCCTCTCGTTTGCCGCGCCGGCCTTCATAGGTCCTCTCTAAAAATACTTGCCCCAACAGCCTGTTAAGGCTATACGGGGGACCTTTGTCTTCGTGAAGAATGAGGAGCGTGCATGTACAGCACAACAGTGATTTGTTTTGAGGCACTGCCTCTCTGCTGACCACCCCGTTTGTAAATCGCGCAGCTGCCTGTGACAACGTGGCATGCCTGGTCGTCACCCATCATAGCGATATTCAGGCTCAGACCTGCTTAGCTTGAGAGATTGGGCAAAGTTGGGTACACACTGCGCTTTCACATAGAGGGGACAACATTCAAACGCTATCTTTAGGTGCCGTTGCGGGCGTGTGATACATTTTACATTTTAAAGACAAGGTAAGAGAAAACTAAAATGATTAAACATATATTGTAAAACGTATATTAAAAACAGATGTGTAATTATATTACGCGAATAGGTTGCGTCTGCCATGAAAGTGAACACCACAGTGCCCCACAACAACAACACGCAAAACGCATTTATAGGCATTATTACGAATACCGATGAATTTTAACTTTTAGTTTCACGTTTACATTCTATACATTAATGGGCAATGCACTTGTACAAAGAGCCAGGTATGATAGCAGTACCATTCACTTACCCAGGTCATGGCCGAGTTTCAAGACTTGTTCATAAGGGCCTGCAGTGGCGTGAATTTGGTCGTGATTTTTTTTAATTTTACGAGTGTTTGACCATGATTGCCCAAGGCACCCTTGAGATTCTGAAGCATTGATTGTTATGCCCGAGCCTCAGTGAGGCAGACCAAGGCACTTTTAGGGTTATTATGCTTCAGTGCTGATGCCCAAGGCTGGCAGATTCTCCTTTGAGAGCGACAGGAGTCGCATTGTCTTCAACGCAAGAGTATCCGACTCCCAATCTGAAGGTTTCAAGTTCAACTCTCAGGTGACTCGGCTGAACGTTACACTCTCGTGGAAAGTCAACGATGGCCCTTCTGTAGATGGACCGGGCCCTGCCATAGAAATGTGGAATTTACAACACTGGCTCAAGGCCCTGGACAGAGAAGGTCACCCATAATTTCTCAATTGAGCACTGACATTGGAACAGACTGCGTATTGGGGCGCATTTACATAACTATGCAGCTTGGCTGTATGAAGCAATAAATGAGCTACGTCGTACCCGTGTCTTGTTGAGTGTGCATGGATTACGCAACAGCTGATCGTCGCCAAGCGAGAGATGTTCATTCTAACGGTGTTCTCCATGGGGGCTGTCATGCTCAAATCAGACGCAACTTTTGAAAAATATAAGAATAGGTAC